CATCGGCAGCATCGCTCAATCCCCTTTCGAAATAAAGCCAATTCGTTAGGTTTCTCGGACAGGAATCATGTTCACTAGAATGCAACCGTCGACGGTCAGACAATACCGACTCTGTACTATTCCTGCTTCGTAAAAAAAGAGTTCTTGGAGTCTCTGTTTGTTGGCAGACATTCCTAGAATTTTCTGGAATTTCCTTGCTGGTAATACTATAGAAGTTTGTAATCAAAGGATCGTACTTATATACTATGCATAATAATTAGAAAATAGAAAAATATATTATAGAGATCTAACTATTTAGATAAACAAGGCACATCCACAAAGTAAGTTTCGGCCAGCAATTGCAAAAATCAGTTAAAGAGAAATAAATTTTGAATTATGTCTAACAATATCTAGATACATACATTATAATTGTACATAGTCGTCGTCGACTTTCACGTATTTTATGTGTTTCTGAACCAGCTTTTTGAAACCGGCATCAAAAAATCTTCTGCCACCAACTCCAGCCAATTTTTCAATCCTGTCATTAATTCGTCATCTTTTTGAAATGCTGATACATACATATTTTAAACCTTTAAAAAAGTAAGGCTCGCCATTTAGAACAAAGTGTGCCTCTGTAGATATGAATGATAGAATATAATGCATTAGATACTTTGGATGGGAGAATTTTATTCATTTAAAGGTTTACAATTTCATTCAGTGTTTAATACGTCCAGTTAGGGGTAACGTTGAGGTTGCACTGGTATAACGAATTAGTTTTGGTTTAAGAAAGAAAGATGACATCAGGAATTCAAATTTTAGTATCCTACAGTCGTGCAGAGCGTGTTAAGAAAGCCAAGGATAACGGGAAGAGTCTGAGCGGCAAAATTCACGCGATTCCACGTGGTGCCAAGTGGGGTGCATTAGCCAAGTTCCCCATTATCCACGCGTGAGAGACCCCTAAATTATCCGACATTCGCTAGTAGCGGCCCTTCCCAGCCTTGAACGTCGGCGAGAAAAAGATGTACGAGTACGTTTCGCGAGAACACCCTCGGTTGGGTGTTCAGTCGGAACAGAAGTGACGAAAATGATTCTGATTCATTTGAGTTGGAACAAAGAACCCGTGAAACTCATATTTTACACAATACCTATATTCCTACCTCGTTGTACAATCATTTTTTCTTTTATAAGTCATACAAAGTGCAAATAAATCTTCTTTGTGTGAGATATTAATTCAGTACACACCATACTTCTTTAATTATTATTTCATTAAAAAGAATTGGGTTACGACATAATAATATAACGGTGATCAGATTTTTGTTTAAGTTCTTAGGTATACCAATTAAGTAATTCACTATTACTTGTCGGAAGAAATATTGGCTTTTATGAAACTCAACGATCTATAGTGCTTCATTTGTGTTCTCAGTGATTTTTTAACATCCCACATCAATTTTGCTCGATAAATGGTCAAAAAGATCTTCTTAAGGTAAAACATAACGCCTTGTAATTTAACAAAAAAATTATAGATTGCCTCTATCCTGGTCTATATTTTACAAAAACAATTACCTGGACACAAATCCGAGGACAGACCTCGAATACGACCTCTAAGAGTGCTGTGATCCATCGGTGGTTTATCTAATTGGAATTGTCGAGGGCTCGAAGAAGGACACCCAGGAGTAGAGAGAACCAATGAGGAAAGATGATGGGAGAGTGAGAGAGAGAAAGAGGAGGGGGAGAGAATGCGGTATAGCGAGAGAGTGAGACGGCGAGTACCTAAAGAACCATCGGCAAGGCAGGGGGTGTGTAAGTTTGGGCTATCTCTAAGAGCACAGTTCCAAGGAGGCTCCTTTAGACTCTGGTGACGTGACGTCGCCTAATACTCTAATCCCTTCGGCGGGGGCACCATCGTCCGCTCTGCAGCCTCATGTTCTTGGGTAACCATCTCCTCCGGTACGAACGGCACTTGCTAATTAATTGACGAGTACGGATTTTGAGGTGTCGAGATCTTCATGTCCGTTGAGAGGGCGGACTGTTATCTGTCCGCGCAGACCCGACAGTATGGTGTTTGACCGAAATATGTCAGAATGCTCATCAAGTTTCTAATTTATGCAATTTATTCATTCAACGCATCCAGGAACTAATATGAGATACCTCGCTATCAAACACACATACTTGAATGTAAAATTATTGACGAGTAGTAACACAAGTTTCTTCATGTGCAGTTTCACTTTTACAAAATTCAATTCTGGTGGTTTCTGTGATATAATATACCCTGCATGTGTATTTACTTGCCATCTCACTTTCACACAACGTAACAGTGCAGGCTGAGATGAAACATAAAGTCGTTGAAATGTTATGATATGTTGCAAGTAGAAATGGGGAGTAACGATCAGACCCATCGCGCAATCAGAGTCAAAATTATATTGGGCAAAGTGACGTTCAAATTATATTTGACAGTAGAGCTACCAAAGCATTCAAAATGATGGTTAGTATACACTTATAACAATCATTAAAATGTTGGAACAGTGCATTTTCTCAGACCTTTACAACTTTGGTTGCAACAAGAAAGTGAAGAAATTGGTTTTTATAAATTTGTATATTTTAACAAGTTTGTCATGTTTACGAATCCGATAGAATCACACATACATTTATCGTCGATAGTTCTAGTGTTGTGGAAAAACTGAACTTCATGTATAAAATGTTACTGTAGACAATCAACTTCTTCGTATTGCCATAAATTGACCATCTTCTCTGTTGTATAAGTTTACGCCTCATCTCATACACAGTATTCTTATAAATTATTTCTTCCACGTTCCATCTTCATGCATTGACCCTATTTCCAATGCAAATTCGACATTCGCCCTTGCCAGTGTTGTGTTCATATACGTGTCGCAAGAGCGCAGAAAAATACAGCAGAAGTCAGTGGTTCATGCAGAGACTTTAACAGCAGGCGCGACGGCACCGGTACGAAAACGAAACTAGTCTTTTTCACGGATACGTCGTCGACGAACGAAGGCACTCCGACCAGGAGAAGGGCCGCTTTCTAATTATTCCCCACAGGCCATAAGGGATGACACGTAATTGGAGGGTGGACGAGGAAGCATTGATCCCTAACTGGAAGGGATTCAAGCTGTTCCTTGCTCCTCCCGCCAGATCCTCTCTTTCTCTCCGCTGCCCGAAAATCGACAACGGACCCGCCGGACCAATGAGCACTGGCCAGGCGAAGAAAAGTGATAATGTCTTAAGCCACCCGGCGCGATTTAACTTCCGATTTTAGTCGGGACCACATTCTCTTCTCCGCAGTCCTTTCTAGGAGTTCGTTGCTCTAAACTCCGAGCTCCCCGAGGTGGTCTGAGGAGGGTTTAGGGTTTAAGGAAAGCCCTCTCACTCCCGAGATCCTTGGAAGCTCCGCTAAGCGCTGACGCTGATCCTGCTCTTCTTCTTCTTCCCGCGCCCGCCTCTTGGAACCTGGGTTTATCTAATTCGAGCTGTAGGTTCTCGCTATCGCTCTAAACCGTACGAGCAGGCCGCCTGGTTCTTGCCTCGCGATTGAAAATAGAGTTCACCGCGGGTCTTTTAGCAGACGTGCAACAAGCAAGACATCATTTAAAGATAGCAATCCCGAAAGAATATCGAGGGTGTAAAATAAATATTAAACGTATAGATCAGAAATTATGGTAATCTAGAAAGAACACTGCTATTCCTTTAGCTAAGGTTACATAATTGTAGATTCTAATTGTTAAAAAAGGATTCCCTTAGAATACTCGAAAACTCCTGGAGTTCGACGTCACGAGCGTCCAATCGAATATAAATAGAGCAGTGATTACAAAGCATCGCTTCGATGCTGCTGTTAATTCTAATTTAATTCGACGCTGCTTGTTGTACGACGGTGAATTGGAGAAGACGGGGTAGAAAAAAGAAAAAAACCCGTGGGTCTCTGGCCGGGAACCAGCGTTGCCAGGACTCTTAAGGCAGCCAAAGAGAACCAGGTAGCACAGGTACACGTAGGCGATGGTGGAACGGGGAGGAGAAAGAGGGGGGGGGGGGATGGTGGAAGTTAAGATGTGGGTGAATATAAGCGACGGAGGTGTACGGCGCACGTATCTCCAACACACTGAACAGGTCGGTGTGCATCCAGGGGCCGTGGTTCCCCCCTCTGCTATCGCGAGGGGGTTGGTGAGGTGAGTAAGGGGGATGTGCTGAGAGGCCGGGAATCGCGTTCCAGCTAAGCTGAAAGGGGTGGACAGTGCGCAGAACCCGCCCCCACTTTTCGCGGCGAAGCAGAAGCCGCCGGTTGCTCGCGCAAGCCTTCATCCCCTCCGTACGGGACTGGAAGATCGCCACCCCCGAACAAACTTAAACATAGCACAGTAGCTCGCGAGCACCCCGTCTGGAAGGGCTCCACGCGCACTTGTGCGACGCAAAAATCCGTCCGTACGTATCGGGAAGCCACGCGTGGCTGGTGCGTGAGCGCACACACAAACACGCGTGCGCGTTCGTGTATCGCGGATCGCGTGCGTGCACACGATTGTGCTCAGACACGAATAATCGAGGCCGTGGCGGTAGGACACGAGATCACGTCGAGCCGAGTGTGTGTTTGATCGAAAGGAACGGGTCACTGACTGGTTGTTCGGCTGGAGGATATTGGAATCGTCACGACTGGATGGAACGGGTGGTCCCAGGATCCGGGGCGATGTCCCTCGATGGGCCACGACGGCGTTCAGGTGACGTTCCTTGAAAGAGAACAGTCTTTTTAGGCTTTCGAGTACGCACACGGTTAAGTAAATCGCCGCTCGGAGAAGACGAACTCGGGCGATCCGAGAACGTGTTTGGGATATACTGAAACAGAACCGCCGAGCTCCCGGGGCTACGAAAGTTGACGGTATCGTTAGATCGCGGCTGACCTTGAGCAACGACCTTGCACTCGTAACAAAAAAAAAAAAAAAACAAATCAAACTCACCTGCCGTCCATGCATCCGACGAGAGAGCAGATTTCCTGATCCTCTGGAATTTTTGTGTTCCAGGGTGGAACTGACCAGCGTACCGGGTGGCCAGAATGCGATGGCTCATCTCAAAAAACGGAAGCTGGAAGCGGAATCCGTCAGCCCGAATCCTAAGCAACCACAGCCGCAACAACAGCCACAACTTCCGCAGTTTCAACCACCATTGAACAAGAAAGGTGCACAAGTGACCATTCCTCAAGAAATGGAGACAGCTGATGCTGCCGCGAAACGAAGAAGGAAAAGTGTACGCGACGACGAGACGCGAAAGCCACTCGACGCGAACGAGCTGAGCAAGACGATACCGTTGCCGCAAAAGAAACGTGCATTCAACGCTGGAAACTGTGGCAGCCCCGCGAGGAAATCAAGCAAACACTCTGAGGAGCCCGAGGACGACGAGACTCTGATCAGAGAGACTGAGGCAGCTTTGAAAAGCTTATCCGGAAGTTGGCCCGGTCCAAGAGGCTGCTTGTATCAGAGAGGTAACTCGGACGAAGATAAATATGAATCAAACTTCGAAAATCTGTTCGAAGAGAAGAAAGACAACCCGAAACTGTCACCCTCCTCGATGTCGAATTCCTCGACGACCAGCAACGAAGCCGGTTGCTCCCTGAAAGATGTGATAACGTTCCGCGGTCAACAAGACCGAAACGGCAAGTCTCAGCAACAATTGAAGCTACAAGATCCAACGAAACAGCTGCAACACGCGACGAAAGTTAAGAAAGAGCTGGACAGTTTTATGAAAACGGACAACGATAGTGTGAACGTTCAAAGCCACGTTAACAACGTGATTCCCAGCGAACAAGGTAAAATCAGACCGGTGCCCATGAGATCGTTGTCGAACAAAGAACGCAATGACAGAAACATGGTCGGTGGTCACGTGGAGACTCAAGGTCGGCAAACAGACAAGTACTCGAGATACGATCCGCCAGATTTCAACGAACTGGTAGACGACTCGTCGAACGAACTTGAAATCGACATGTCCGATCCAACCACCGATAAAGAAGATGCTGATAGAGACAAAATGAATGACAGAGATAGGGACCGAACATGCAGGAACGGTCAATCGCCACAGAGCAGCGGTAGGCAACAACAGCAACATCAACTCTACTCGAATTATCATAGACAATATAGTGAAAACAACATGAAGGTTCTGCAAATCGCTACCACCACCTCATCCTCTTCGCCACCGACGAATTCTCCGTTCTCTGCAACGTCGGCATTCAGACCGCCCAACGCGGACCACTCGAAGGCAACTGGCCGCGGTACACCGTCAGTGGCCGTGCCTTCCGCAGCAATTCCACCGATTGGCCCGTACCCAGCCGCGGCTACCTTTGTCGGTTACCCAACCCCTGGCCCTGGACCCACGATGCCGACACCGCAACCTGTTACCGGTATATCGCCCACGTCGGAAGAGAAACATCCATCTACTGTCTCGTTACTTCAGCTGAAATCATCGAAGGAGGATGCCCATCATGTGACCAGGCACGAGGTGACACCGAACACAGTGCCTGGAACGAAAAGTCCCACCGGTGCGATACCCGCAGTGACCAGTCCCGATTCCTCGAAACAGTATACGATTTTACAACCAGCCGGAGTTGGATCCAGGGCGGCCAGTGCGATTCAGGACATAGCAAGAGAGGGAGTCGTCAGTGTCACCGCTGTAACCAGTTGCACCACCACGAACGGTAGTCCGACGAACGGAAGCAACGGGAACGGTAACGGTGGCAGCTGTAATAATAACGTCGCTAGCAAAAATACGAATAGCAATAACAGTGTTAATGCGAGCAGTAACGCGAATCCAACCGGTGGTAATGCGACAGTTAGCAATGTGACCAGTATCAGTATCACCGCTGTCTCGACCAGCACGACCACGTCCAGTCCTACGACCGGTGCCGATGTATCGTCCGGGAGTGGATCGGTTCAACAAGAGAATGTCATGAAAATGCCAGACAGGCCTGGCACCTTTGACGTGAGCAGGCCGGGAATGTCCATGTCTCCGTCCAGTCTAAGCCGAGGTGAGAATTCCAATCTCTTATCCTATGAGCCGCCGCCGTTTTATTCACGTTTAAACTATTCCGTGTCTATTCTATCGATGGAATGTGCTCTATAATCGTTCGGATAAAGTGAGTCGATCATTCGATGGAGACACGAGCCCCTTGAATGTATTCCACTCGCGTCTCCTGTCGAGACTTTAACGACAGCAAATACGGGTAGTGTTTTAAATCGGTCCGTCCCCGAACTTCGAAGTTCTCTCGTCGAATGCAAATAGAGTGGGGAGGGGTTTAAGAAATTCGTGAAATCATTGATAAGGGTAATGCTCGGTGTGGTAGGGTTACCGTTCGTGCGTTATCCCCTCGCGAGAGAGTGGGGACAAAGGCATTTTCGACTCTCCCGCGTGCTCTGCTCTTCTTTCGTCCCCCTTTTCCCACTGTCGCTCGGCGCGCTCTCGCTCTCTCTATCTCTCTTACTTTCTCTATGAAGTTAGGGCAGTTAGGGTAGCGCGGAAAATCAATAATTACGAAGCGAGGGGCGATGACTCAAATGGTGAAATCAAGGTCTCTGAAAGTAAAGTTATTCTCGATAACCTTCGCTGTAGGGACTTCGTCCTCATCTTTGCCACTGCTTCGAAACTATTCGCTTGGTACGCGGAACATCGCGGTGATCACGAGGACTGACAACACGAGGAAAGTTGCGTTCACTAGACTCGCTCGTGCATGTATACACCGTTAGAACTCGTGGGGACTACCTGCCGCCGTTCATTCAGTTACATCTGTTTTAAATTTCCATCAGTTCATAAGAAACTTTTGAAACTTATATTTACACTACTCATAGTATCACAAATGTTGTGTTCTGCTTCTGTTCTTTTTATTATTAGAGTACAATATCCAAAAGACTCTGAAACATTCTTATAGTTTACTATCACGGGACATAATTTAGTAATTTATGTAATTGCTACATTGAAGATATTCAACCTTTAACTAAAGGCATATATTCATGAAACTGGCCGTCCAACCGGAAAAAGTAGGTCAATAAGTGTTACTAATGAAAATAACAAGCAGGTAATAATAAGAGTAAATAAAAAGTAGTTTCCTCATAACTATCAATGCTATTTGAGTCATGGTCTATTTCTTCGTCGTCTATTGACGACAGCCATACCTACTTAAAGAGTTGACCAATTTATCACAAAAAACTTGTAGCTCCCTTTCAGCTTGAAAATAAGACCAAGAAGTCATTAAATTCTATGAACGCGCAAAATACACAGTCCAGTCTATTTATTAAATATTTCATACAATACTGATAGGTCAATTCGTGTAGTTGAATAAAGCCAGTATCAGAACCTATTTGATACGATATCAAGGATAACAGGGGATCAGGAAAAAATGTCTCGTACATCGGCACAGGGGAATGTATCGCGCGGTGTGACAGGTGGAAGTTTGAGTGCATTCCGGGGTCTTAGGGCAGCGATGACACGATGTGCTTAGGTGGGGGAAATTTGGGGTTGATACCACGTCATACGTATAAGCCGCAGCTGTCAGCAGCTAGAAACGTGACTAGCATCCCCGGCCGCGCCACCGCTACCTTATTACCACCGTGCGGCTCTGCTGCCTGTCCTCATTATCCCGTTAGCGTTTTCTCTGGCTGAACCCGCGGAGATGAACATTCCTGAAGTGAATTGGCGCGGATAGACGCGTGTAGGGAGTCTACTAAGTGTTCAGATTGATAAACCAAAGTTTACAATACACTAAAAATCTTTCATACTCAAGCTGTAGTGGATGCTATTTAACAGTTTCTGCGAAGAATGAACCGAGAATCCTGATACAATGATAAGGAAATCCCTGGCCCCGCAGAAATATTTGTCAGAAGCCGTATGATATTATATCGCCTCGTGATTACACAAACATAAAAAGTCGAGATTTATTTTCAAGAATTTTCACCGTCAACCTGTCAATCTCGCGGGATCGGTCGATCATTAAAAGATCCCGGGGCGGAGATAGCCGAGAGTAATCCACCTCCACGGAAATCTCGGCGAATAAACGCGGGTCCGCGATAAGTGGGCACGATTAATCGCATACTTACAAGCGTGACGGCGGTACAGGCGTGTGCAGGACCCGGGTCGAGCCGTAGTTTTAATCGCCCGAGCTCGTTCGCCTCTCCCATTCGCGCCAGCTCGCTCATGATCCTTTCGATTTAGCCGTTGGTTCGCGTGCACCGGCTCTTTTTCCCCTTTCACCCCCTTCGTCCCCACACGTTCTTCGTCCCTTTTTGTTTTCTCGGTTTTTCCCTTTCTGTTCAACGTGCGCGCGAACACAGGCGGTCGCGTAAGAGCGTGTTGACACGCCATAAAACCGCTATCGGGAAATCCGTCGGCCGCAAACACCACCCTTTCCGCGTTGAAACCGCGCGCGCGGCAGGCAGGCAGGCAGGGTTGGCCTGGCTAATAAAAAAATAAACTGCCCTGTAACTCAATTTTACGCTGCCTTTGCGACCGCACGCATAAAAAGGACCTTTACTCGCGCGCGCAGGGGCTTCTACCCTCGCGTTAAGGGCGCGCGCCGCCCCGTGTAAATACGTGCCTCGTGATTGTTCCCTGAGCCGCTTACTCGGTTTTTTTTTTAGAATCCTTTCGTCTTCCAACCGGTTCAAGTCGAAGGAGCTGGGATAGCTTCGAGCGATTAGGATATCTTCGCCACTTCATCTTTACGATTTCTTGAACATCCGTTATTACGTTGTTCCTTCTTTAACGTGTCTATACCGTACTGTACACAACAGTGCATAAGAATGTCCATAAAGCGTGGTTGGAGACTTTTTCTACACTTGTACATTTCTTCGATAATTATAAAAGACGGCAGGTTGCAGTATGGGGCGATGAAAATAAACGCGTACCCATTTATCGACATCGATACGTGAATATTTCAGTTTCTCCATTGATTATGAATGTGTAAAAAAGTCCCCTCGTAACCGGGCCCTCTTTAGTCGCAATCTTTTCCACGCGATTTCCTCCGATTTTAATACACGGTTATCGCGCAGATAGAGAGCGAATGATATGGAAAAAGGAAGAAGAAGAAAAAAAGAGAATTCGGCACGCGTCGTATGCGCGCGACCGGGCCGAATGAATAAAACAATCCTGGTGTTTATGTACACCTCTGGCCCTCCCGTGGTGACCCTCACGTGAAATGGCAACAAAATAACACAATTACACACTCGGCCACGGCCTCACCCTCGCCCCGTGGCCGGCCGGGTGCTCATCCTCGTTTTCACCCCTTGGATCCGCTTTTTCCTCTTTTCCCTCTGACCCTCTCTCGCCAGGCGTGCCCATCGCCACGGGGTCCCCCGTAGGGAAAAGAGACGGGGACGGCCTCGAAGCGACGGGAAAAAGAGGGAAAAACGCCGGAGAGGTCCGACCGACTCGTTACAAGTCTATTCAGAGATCCGGAAAGAACAGCGCGTGCCGGTATTCATTTTGTTGACCGGAACCATTATCTGCCCCTTCGCTCTTTTTTCCTCTCTCGCGCTCTGTCTCTCTCATTTCTCCTGAGCTTAGGCACCGGCCACCCGTTTTAAAACCTTACGGCTAATTTATTAATCCCGCCGGCGGCCAACCACGCTCTCGCCCTCACTTAGCCGGCTTACCGGTTTTTTTTCTACCTTGCCGCTAATTAAAACGCCGGAATCCTGGTATCGTTCCTTCACCGGATTCATTCTTTATTTTTTTTTTTTTTTCATTAACACTGCGTGCCACGATTCTCGAAATCGCATTGTGGCTAATTTCCTTGCCTGAGGTGCGCATTCTCGGTGTTGCAATTCATGCAGTCTTGTTGTGATATTATAGATGTTTGGATGATAAAATGGAGCTTTCTACGAGGATGTCAATCTATTGGTAGATTGTACTGTTTAATTTTAGTCTATTGTTAGTCTTCTTGCTACTGTACCCAACACATTCAGTGCTTTAAGTGAGAGTGAAAATAAAGTGAAGGTTAGGTGAAAGGAATAGTGATCTCGTATAGTAAGTAGTATAGGACTGTGGTCAGACACAGCTCCGGTAACTTCTTCCTATGACAGAAATGTACGTAAAGAATACTTCCTACTTCTTATTGTGAAATATTCTTTGCTGCTTCGAGTTAGAGTGAAAGTGAAGTGAAGCTTAGGTTAAAGAAATATGTATTTTATAGAGCAAGTAGAATAAGACAGTGGTCAGACACAATTCCAGTGAATTCTTGGTATGACAAGTATGTATGTAAATAACTCTTCCACCTTCTTATTTCGGAATATCCTTTGGTGCTTTAACTGAGAGTGAAAGTAACCTAAGGCTTAGGGTGCAGGAACAGTGATCTCATAGAGTGATTAGAATAAGACAATGGTCAGACAGTAGTTCCGGTAGCTTCCCACCATAACAAGAATATATGTAAATAATTCTTCCTACTTCTCCTACCAAAATGTTTAATTTCTTAATGAAAAATTACTCACAACTTTCAAAAATTTCAAAACGTGCATTAAAAAAGTTATTCGATAATTTCAAAAGACAATGAAAACGAACCTGAAAGGATGAAATCATAAGAGTAGCACGTCCTATAAATGTATATCACTACTAATCCTCACATACGAAAAAGCAACTTTCATTCTGCCAAGATACAATATTAATGACTTGTCGATTCCTGACGAATAATCAGAATTACGCCATATTTCCTTCTATGAACGCCCATTTCTAGATTCCTCGCGAGCGATCATCATGACCGAACGGTTCCCTCGTCGTTCTTCGGTTCACCGAATAAAGTATATCGGTAATGACGTCACGTATCGTAATCCAATTTGCGGAAGGTGGACCAGAACCTTAAGCAGAGAGAGAGAGAAAGAGAGGCGAGTGTCTAAGCAGGGATCGACTGGGTTCCCTCACCGGGTCTTTCTGGAACGCGAAATGACGGCCTGATGAAGTTTCTCGGCATCATGGCGGCCGTTTCGGGGTCGGGCGTAGTTGGCTAGAGGGATCAGGACCAGAGGAGGATTAGTACACGACAAAGTTTATAAAAGTGTGCTCACTCCAAGGGAAACCAAACCTCCCCCCGCAACTAACCTAAAGCTCGTCTCCCCTTCAGGTTCCTTCGAGGTCCCTTTCTCGAACCCCTCCGACACACGTGACGAACGTACCTATGCGCGCCGTTCGAATCGAGCTTCTTGTGTTAAGGAACGTCAAATTGACCTCAGGACGGATGAAATGACTTAATACGTAAGATAAAGATCGTGATCCCGGTAAACTCGGCTAAAAAGGATTATCGCCCCGAATCAGGGAATCGAAGACGTCGAAACGGGTTCGGTTTCGTATTGACCAACACAATTTGGTTTAAGGGTCTGGTGTTGACTTGGTTGGTCAGTATACAGGTAGTTTAATTTAGAGGAATTAAATTGTATGGTGTTCTATAGTAAATGTCGTGATTTTAATCTGATCGTTCCAGTAAAGTTAATTTGAACTCTATATTCTACGTGTTCTGTTAATGTTGGGTCAGTCATTTCTTAGGTAAACAGAAAGTATATTATTCACAACATTTAACACAACTTTTGCACCATTAAAGTCCGTAACTGTTAATTCTAACGGTAGACTGGTGATAGTTGTACATGTCTGTTGACATAGTCAGAATTCTAGATTCTACGAGAAACAAGCAAATAAAATTTAAACAACTTGATACCTAAGTGTAGAGCATGAGATTAAACGTTCAAAGAACCTTTCGAACATCTTCGTTGTATTTTTAGTACTAAACTGGAAAGCATACTCTGTGTAAGACAAAAGAACTGAAAATCTATTATAGAAGGTCTAAAAATGAACGATAAGCAAACTTCTTAAAGTTTCGTTTACATTTTAAACTCTCTTGTACACGATACTTCCACTACCTTCTGACAGTATCACAATTATAAGTGTTAAGTGATCAGTAACGAAACAAGTCTTTAGAAAGAAGCAGTTACGCTCACCCGACCATATCTAGGGAATCAGAATTATAGTTCTCACCGGACCTAGCACAGCGTCTAATCAGATCCGTAGTCGCCGCAGAAAGGAATTGTTCGCAGGATCTGGTTAAAATCAACACACTACGGTAGAAACGTAGGGCGGCCGGGGTTAGATGGTCTCATCCGAAGCGATTGGTACTTCTGGGCTAGGCTACAGGGTGCTGGAAACCTATAATTGCCTGGTCACGCGAGGTCAGCCTGAGAACACGAACACGATCGTACGTGACGTGCACCACACCAGCCATTAAGTTGCAGGCAGTACACGGCAGATGGTGCACCTTGCTTCAGCATGTCCCCGATGCAATTTCGTGACTGTCGCAAGAACGCTCGGAATCGGGAACGGGAAAAAATTGAGCAGAATTTTTTTTCTAAAGTTTCGACACTTAAATTGCAGTAACGTGCAACGTGGTGCAATATGATATTCTGCTCATACCTTCAGGGGCGTTTGTAATGATATCGGAATTGAATTCAATGTGTTTAGGATTAACCCTTAAGTACGTGAATGGGATCACAGCCATTACAATTTATTTATTTGGTTTTTGTTTTTCGTAAAAGTAATGAACGTTAGTTATGAAAGTGATTCGCTTTTATTTTACAATTCCTCATGGTTTATTTACATTTTAAAAAGAAATTTGGAGTTACTGCAGACCCTATGCGCCCACTTGTGATTTTGCTAGTGCGCCTGCTTAAGGGTTAACAGTCTTATTGTACGGTGTGGATTAATAGTCAAGTTAATACAATCAGTAATGTAAAAATTTTTTATTTTTAGTTTTCACTTTTTATCAGTAATGATAACCATCAGTAATTTTCGAGTTTTTCAAATTCATGCCTTTTGTTGTGCAACTGTTGATGTTGGTAACAATAAAATTTAATATATCAGTAGCTAAATATTTAGAAATCTTAAATCTCTGCATTTTGATGATCTATAATGTTCATTGAAAGCATAATGATATTACAAACAATTTTGTTTCATTACAATAGTAAAGGGGTTAGTTTCTGGTATTGTGGACAACCTTGGACCGATCTCGGACGTAGTGTTAATCTCTGAGGCTCAGTCACGAGACAGGGAAATCCGGGTGGTCATTCGTGCGACGAAATCCACGGTGGCAATACATAGACATTTTCATCTATTGATAACAATTAATCAACGGTCAGTGTATTTGCTTCATAATGCAGCGATCTTAATCTAGACTGTATATGAATATTGATAGACTAGGAACACAGTCTATTCTTTGACGATGCAGTAAGTGGAACTGTACCGCGATGTCAGACATGATTTAATTTTCATTGAATTCCACGTGGTATCGTGGTTGCTTTGAAAACGTGTCAATCCACAGCTATTTTGTTCTTCTTCTCGTTTTTTTTCTTTTTGTTCGCAGAATCCCTCTGTGTTTATTATGAATATTCATTTAAATATCGATTCGCGAGGTTTATTCAATCGTCGAGGCGAAAGTGAACATCGAAATGCATCGCGCGCCCCTTCCTGTATTACAAAAACCGAGCGTGGTAACAATATTGTCCCGCGTATCGAACCACCGTCATAGGTTCAGTCAACAATTCGACCGAGATTCCGATACGAATACGTGGAATAACGCAATTTATTTACAATCACGAACCTGGCATATCGCGGTCATTAAATTCAGGCGAGGAAAGGAAGGTGCCACGGAAAGGACGAGCTACAGTTTACTCGATATTACAATTACTGGACGCATAATCGATATTAATTAATGGAGTACAATATGATCGATTTAAACTCCTACGTTGACTGAATCGGAACTGGCACGCTTTATCGTCGACGGCTCCGCATCAGGCAACGACAATTAGGTCCGAAACAATCGGTCGGAGCTTTTAGTTTAAATTAAATGGCCCGCTATCGATGTGATCGATGTTGCGACTTGATTCGTGTGAAACCAGTTCCGCGTTAACAATCTGGAACTGTGTATCATATTGCCCCGCGTGAAAAGGAACAGCATTTCCTTTCATAGTGACTCGATATCAGTATGGGACGTTTCTGAACAATTAGAGAACAGGGAAATTAGAGAAAAAGTGTTCTCTTTATGAAAACGATGGTGAATTAAAAAGATGCTAAAAATGCGTTCAAACTTTCAGTGCAATGAAATTACATTTAAGACTAGAAGAACCAAACTCGTACTAATAACGGATTTCACATTTCTTGATTTGCAATTATTCTTGAAATCACAAAGATGCTCTTGACAGAATTTATGTTGACTTTTAGTTGATTGTACATTTTACGGTATATTCATATTATGTTGTATTTCATATTGTATCTACATATGAATATATTTGTACAATATAATTCAATGTACATTCAACGCTGGTAGTTCTAGTTTTAATAGTATCCAATAACTAAAGAATACTTTTATAAGCTTCCTACGACCTTGGTGCTTTTTGTAATCGCTTACGAATACATTCTGTTTATAAAATATTTTTCTTATTTCTATAATATATGTACAACTGTTTCTCTAGTACCAACCAGCAAATTTGATATCTGAAATTGTGTTGTACAGGTGGATAACACACAATAATATTTCTACATTTTGTTATGTGTTCTATACATCAATAATTTTTATTTTCTTCAGTATTCCGACTTTCGGAAAATATAGGATAATAATCCTTCATTCTAACTTCATCCAGTTCCATATATTCAAACAATTTCTTTTATTCAATACCAACATTTCGTCGCCCTTCTAAAAGTTATATGTGCCCCAGATTTATGAGTACCATAATGAACATGCAGCGAAATAAATATAATAGAAGTCATGAAAATAGAAAGAAAAATCCTTTGATAGGGATATTACGAATAATTGCCATAAAAGTGTATGTATTAAAAGAGGATGGCGATTGTCCGAACCAAATCTGACCAATTGCCGTGATTTGATTTGTTACAGAGGGCAACAAGTGCCCGACCCCAGGCTGCACGGGGCAGGGTCACGTGACCGGGCTCTACTCTCACCACCGCAGGTAAGCAATTATCGGTAATTAACCTGCGCTCTGCACTTTGCCCTGGTCGATTAGACACCTACGCGCTACGGGGGAAACACCGGGCCAAACCGTGTGCGAACAGCACTGACACTAGTAAACCGATTCGTTACATCGGATCGCTCGAACTACAATTGCTGTAGTCTGTTTTGCAATAGGCACAAGCACAAAAACCCTGTATCCTCACGTATAACTATGAAATCTGATAAAATACTGACTGTGAAAAAACATTCGAAGGATTAATGTGCCGTGATTTTTGTTTATATTCAATTTCGGAAATTTGATAAATTCAAATACTTTCTATCAGCGGCGCTTCCAAGATTCTCCAGCAATGTAAGATAAATTTTTTTATCAAAGCTGAAAGTTTATCAGTTAATTTCAACAACATTGGTAGAAAAAGTTTAGAAGTGTGTATGATTACGTCAACGTATTGAAATACTTACTTGAAAAATTACACGTTTGGACTAATTTCTCGATATTTACGTATTTTCCAGTTTTAATTACTCGAGTTCATAAGTAAATAAGATTACGAAGTGAGAACCGTCGGGAAATTATTAAATAGTATCTAGATTTTCTACTCTGAAGATCAACCTTTAAAAATAACAGAAACTACACAAAGCCATGAGAGTTCTTTGATAGCTTTTAATTCTTTAACTACGGGTATATGTATATGTATGAGACTGATCGTCCAAATGCAAAAAAAAAATAGATCAATAAGTTTTCTGTGCGTCGTCTTTAGGTAGTTAAAGGGTTAAACTATACATTCATACGAAGCTTGCTAGACAAGTAACGCAATTAGGGAAGCTTCTCGGATGTGAATTCTAAGAAGGACCTAATCATTGTTTGTTACTGTGATTCCAGTCTTTCCGGTTGTCCACGGAAGGATAAACTGACGCCAGAAAGTAAGTAAATCGCAAACGAGATCCTTGTTACTAGTAGTTACATAGATGCATCTTCTTTTTGCGAGATTACCTTTTTCACGCAACGGGGCAAGGAAGTAGTGAGCGAGCGCGAATCACAATACAGTATTCCCTCCCTACGTATCCCCCGAAGCGGACCAACATCCAATTAAACGGACCCAAAAATAGTATCCACTGCTCTGTACAATCGCGTTGCTAATCCCAAGTAGTGTAACTGTAGGAAGGGAATACTGTATCTTATTTTTCTATTCTTTCAATCATCTACAATCTTTCAAAGTACACTCAGTAATCGACTGATAAAACGAAATTCGCAGCTTAATGTCATTCCGATTTTTGCACGCGAAATATTTATTTCTAAACTCGTCTAAATTCCAAAAGCTTCCTCGCTTCCGTCCGAAAACACAGCCACGCGACACAACGAAACGAAAAACTAGAGAAATACCGATCCAATCACGGATCGTAATCGAGAGCGAACGGGCTCGTCACCTGTCACTCTCTCTCTCTCTCTCTCTCTCTCTCTCTCTTTGTGTGCGTCTATGTGTCTGTCTTCTGTTACATTCTTTGTGCTTTTTCGTTTTGCGGGGTAGAGAGCTTTATTTATTGCGTTCACTTCCGTTTTTATGATTTTTACCGTTCTGTTCGTAGTACTATCATTATAGTTAGAGAATTTATATTATATCACCACACATTGTACTTGGTCACGTTGGCCCATGTGAACCTACGAACATCTGGAGAACTCGAGACACGGGCGTTGCGACCACCAGCTAGATGCCTAATCCGCGCACGCCGGAATCGAGCGAAGGATTTCTGCGATTGAGTATAATTAAAACGATGATCACACACTCTTGGCGACACACGGTTCCCGAGATACGGCGCTCTCATCCGCGCGCTGCTACAAACATAATTATAGTCATACACACGAGAACCACATGAAAAAGTCGAACCAGAGAAACATTTTCTCCGAGTCAATTGCTCGAAACGAAACTCGCTCATATCTCTTTCTACTTGGAAATCCTTATTTCTTTATTTCTATTCTTATATTACTACAAGTAAATCATTGGACAACGGATTTTATGCATCTATAGCCTACATGGCTGTCTGAAATACCACAAGGAATAAACTTTTATTAGACGTAACAAATTTTTCATTTTATTCATAACTTAATAAGATGTTTAAGTTAAAATGTCATTTTGCATAAAAATCCGCAGTCTATAAATATTCTACACTTTTAGAATTTTTTCTACAAGTCTTCTTTATACTAATGTGATTTGAAGAGCCTTGTTTTCATTTACATTATCCGACGAACAGATACATTTACATGAATACATATGTACCTTGAATTTTCTGTGCAGTATCCGATAAACTCTATTAACATTAGCCCCGACACAGAACACAACCCGATCACAATGTACACCAACTGCAAGTTGTTGTCTTTTTATAATTTTTCTCTCGATTGGATTGATTATGTACTTTACTTGAGTTTCTCTCTACCCGCTCTCTCGGTATACTTGATTGTACTGTTCTAACACATTTTGATTTTGTATTTCAACCCGTAACGTTGTTGTACCCCGTCTGATCTTTCTCTGTTTCTCCTCATTTTACGTTTCTCTTTTCGTTCTACCTTCTCTCTATACTGTCACACAACACGCGCGATGTTCCGTATTATACAGGGAACCGAAGCTAAATCAAAGGAAAGAATCACTTTGAACAATTATACTCAGCGCATAGAACCTGTCGACTTTTTTTTGTAAAAAAAAAAAGGGATGGTCAAAGATAAAAATCCTTCCGTTCGTCTCGGTGTGCGTGTGGATGTGACTCGGCGATCGCGGATTCGCTGAAGAATGCCACGAGAAACCGTTCGGTTTTTTTTTTTTCCTGTAACCACACGCCACGTGTCTCTGGGTTCTCTCGCAGTTCTGGCGATGCATGAGACTATTTTGAAATGCCCGACGCCTGGTTGCAACGGCCGTGGCCATGTCAGCTCGAACCGGAACACGCACAGGAGCCTGTCCGGATGTCCCATTGCCGCGGCCAATAAGCAGGCCGCACGCGAAGCACGACACAAGGCTCAAGGTAAGGCGGCGTTGGCAACGACGGTGGCCGCACCACAACCGCCCTCGCAACGTGCCTGGAATTTCGACTGCACGAAAATCCGCCCGTGGGTTACGCCACTCATCCCCCTCCCATCATCCCCAGTCCACGTGAAATCAGATCGGGGATTAAGCTTTCCGAAGCAACGGGCAAAGTAATCCGGCGCGAGACGTGTGGATCGTTTCGTGGCGGTTCTCGCGTTCACGCGAACCAGATTTTCCTCTTTCTTTCCGTTTGCTTGGTGATATCGTTGATACGGGCGACATTGTTTCTGGAATACTTGGTTCTGCGAGAGACGCTTTGGAAGAAATTTTTGGACATTTTTCTGATTAATTTCTTTTGTTGATATTGTAGTAGTTGCTGGGTACTGGTTTGCAACTGTGATTACTAACAAAGGATTTTAACCCCTAGGCGATAGAGATTTAACGAAGAGGAATGGAAACTGCAGTATGCGGTCTATGACATACAGGGTGTCCGAAAATATGTGTAAGTCCTTGAACGGGATGATTCCTGAAGTGTTTCCAATCACCCCAAGAATCACCACTTTCAAACACTTATAATTATTTTGGGACACCCTGCATAGGTGAAGTTAGAAGCGAGCGTTGTGGGATAGATTTCAAAGCAATCGTCTGTATCCATATGTATTTATGTACAATCCCACGTCACACTTTTCAAAACAATATCTGCTATCTTTCTTTTCCCCATTTTTTATACACATTTTGTGTTTATAGAAAAAAAATAATTTGGACGTAAATTTATTTTGGAGAATAGATACGTATCTAAAGATCAGCAGTTCGCTCACTCACGTGTATGAAATTACTTCATTATCAACCTTCCATACTCCCTCGAATGGTCCAGAGATAGAATGTTAACACGCTACATCGATAGTCGAACAAGCATCTCGTTGTAGTGTTACATAGTTTTCAGCATGCCTCGTACTTCAAGTTGCCGAAAGCAACGTAATTCAATCGTGAATAGACCAACGCCATGGTTTAACAGCAGTATAAATGTAGGATATAATTTGTGTTCTCGCGACAGTGTCCGGAATTCCACCAGAGTACATCAGTACGAACCTGTTGCCGCCGTCAATGGATAGCAAGAGCTACTCCCAGTACGGTTCCACGGCGCAAGACACGAAGCCGGTGCTAAACAGCCTGACCTACGACTACTACACGACAACGAAAGGCACCGGGATCAACGTAAAACCACCTAAAACACCCGAGGAGAGCCCGTCGTCCCGTACCGCTAAAGTGGTCCCTAAAACTGAAAACATGACACCGAGCGGCAGTTGCTGCAACACATTGCCGGCCAGAGGTCAGACCACGTCCGATTTGTTGGTACCGAAAACGGAAGACACTGCCTCCTGTCGCGTGAACTCACCGCCGCCACCGCCACCGCCTACTGTACGGCCGACCTATGACTCGTACATGAATCAAGACTCGAACTCCTCGTCGATGTCCTCGATGGACGCGATGGGATCCAGGGGATCCATCGGGGCGACGATACATCATCCGAGTCAGCACCCGACGCACCATGTACTGCCCATGCAACCCACCGTTGCGTACCCGATGCCGATGGTCGAGGACACGAGAATGAGTCATCAGATGTCCCAAAGATCTCCCTACGAACCATCCGCAATGATGGCCGCAGCTGCTGCCGCGGCCGCGGCGGCTACCACCAGCGAAGACCTGTACCATCACAGGTCAGCGGAACACGCGAGGGCCTACATGCACCCCGGCGCGAGTAATATCGCCAGACCAGTTGTGTCCTACTCAAACGAGATCGCAACTGCAAGAGGCTACGAGAACGCGGTAGCCAGCGCCGCTAACCATCGACCGTACGATCCCGGTACTACTTCTGCTTACGAGAGATACGATACGCAAGGCTGTCCATCGATTCCGTCGCAGCAACAACAGCAACAACAACAGCAACAACAGCAACAGCAGCAACAACAACAACAGCAGCTGCATTCAAGGACGAACATGTACTATCTCGGCCAGACGGGAATGACGCCGGAGGAACAGGAACGAGTTTATCATCAGGAAGCTGCAGCAGCGGCTCAGCAACATCAGATGGCAATGGCTGCCGCGACGGCTGCTGGGATGATGAAGACCGAGGATGGTAAGAATTTTTTGGAAAATTCTTTTTCGAAGATTTTGATCAGTAGACAGTTGTTACAGTAAATTATTTAAAATATTGATAAGAAAAGGAAGTCATGGATGTTTATTCAGAAGTCGGACTGAAATATCCTACACAAGAAAGGTTTAAATAAATCTGTTACAGTTAAATGTGTCACAGTAGCGCAAGTCCAGCAGATGCAGAAGCCTGGAGGTCCCCCAACTTCGCCAGGAGGCTCGGTGATGGACCTGTCAACTTCCAGCGTCACATCCACAAGTCCACAGGTACGTCTCTGTTTCTTGACTTCTCGAAATCCTTTTATAAAAGTTATCCATGAAACAATTGACGACATGGTGGTATTCTTTACAGGCGCCACCATACGGCTCGAATAGTCTAAGCCCGCAATACGGCGGTGGTCAAACTGTAGGTGGCAGTCCTCAGGCGGCAGCGAGTCCTCATTTGACGGCGAGTCCGCAAGTCCCGAGTCCGCAGGGTCAGACCCTTGATCTCAGTGTGAACAGGCTTCACAGGTAATTAACAATTACTCACCTTAAATGGTTATTAAAACTCTAAGGAAACTGTTTCAGTTAAAAGTAAAAAATTAGAAATCCTAAATGAACAAGGGCTTAAGTTTTTAATTTCACGCGAGATATTATAGGAAAATCTTTTCCATCATAAAGAATACTACTGTAACAGGAGTTAAAGGACGGGATATTAAGTCGTACATCACTTTTATCTGATTACAGTGGAGCACCTAGCCCTCAGTATCCAACCGGCCACGGTGAAGCCGTGGCGGTGCCGGTTGGACCGGGATTCCCAGCGCCCAGACCAATCGAGGAGCAAACCGAGCCCGTGGACTTCTCAACAGCGAACGAGCCGGTCAATTTCAGCGGGGGGGCTGGGATCAGGCCTGTACCAGGGTTCCCGCCACCCGGTGTGCACGTCACAGCGTACAGTCGTGAAAGCACCCCCGACAGCGGTGGTTCCCACTACATGGACGCCTACCGTGATCCCACTGGTAAGCTATCACTGTTTATCGCTTAACTTAGCAGACAACTCATCATCCATCTCCCGGCAAAGCTTTATGACCCGCGACTGTCCTCAGCTTCCTATCGCGAGCATTCATCCTCAGGATCCTTAATTCACTCTACCACCGTTTAAAATTGCATCAAGCAATGTTTTACTCGGTACTTTCATCGTTTAGCTACTAATTCTATCAAAAGATTCACTCAAAGAAAAATTCTTCTGTCAGAAGATCAAAATCGGAAGTAATTTTCTTTCAAATATTATGTTTACAATTCTTTCTCTCACCCACCTGTAAATAGAAAATGAAAACGTGATTCGAACGAGAGATCGACTCGTAAATTTCACTTGTACCCCACGGGAATCGAACTGATTAAACGCTAAATAGAGACAGGCGAATAGAACTACACCACCAAGGATCGGGTCAAACGGATGATCACAAGGTCACGAGAACTGTGTCCGTGATATTCTAAATTCCACTGGACGTGGACGCGTAAATATACACGGCGATCCTGTCCAGCATGTCCCTACATTCGCGGCATGTAACGGTGAACGATACGGGGGATTGGATCGAGGAGATCCCGCGGATGAGGGATACGAAAGGGAACAAAGAGCCCGACGCCCTCGGGGTTCCAGCATATAAGGGTGAGGGGGTGTAGCGGGACGAGAGAGCGATACGCGGTTACAACCGTCGAATAAAAATTCGCCCGAACAGTACACGACTGCCATAATAGGCACCTATGGCCCAACTCTCATTTTCCTCGGTCTCTCTGTGCCTTGGCATTCCAAACCTACAGCCCATTCTCTTCGTCCCTGTCCGTCTCTTTCACTCCTCTCATCCTCCGCTCCAGCCGTGTCCCTTTTCTGTTGATGTGCGCGGGCCACCCTTTCTGGCGGACCAACCACCTCCTACCTCCCACCTCGCCCCTTCTCCCCCAGCGGAGTACACGACCATTGTTAATTATCAATATTTCGCGTACACGTAGCCGGCAAAAGTCCGGCGCGGCCAATATTGTGCGGACTCCCGACGCTGGGGAGTAGTTATTGAAATTGAAACATTCGAGGCGCGCATACACACACACACACATACACCTGTACGTGTGTGTTTCGTTTCGTTTCGTTCGGCGTCGTCGTGTCCGCGCGACGTCGCCCCCGTACAACACACGTCTGTCTTTCTCTCTCTTCCGACCGTCGGCTATTTACACAGCGAACGAAATGAATTCTTGCCGGTAAATAAATGCGTAGATTTTACAACGGTTAATCAAGCTTCGCGTAGCTCGGAACATCGTTGGACCTTTCGCGGGCCTAGCTGGTTTTTTTTGCGCTTCTTTGGTCGCTTGGTTATTGTACAGGGCGTAAAAAATATGAAGGGCTAAATAGGCTTCAAGGTATGAATTACACCATTGGATCGCTGGACATTTGTAAAAGAAACATTACCGCAAAATTATTTATAACGTTGAAAATTAATTTTGAATTTTTTTCTTGCGTCTACGTATTCTGCGTACTGAGAAGAGAAAAAGTTTGAAAGGAACCATATGTCGCAGACGAGCCGTTTGGTCAGGGAAAATTGTTAAAGAATTCACAACGATTTGACTGTACAGTGTTACACGTAGAGGCATGGACCTACCACTACTGTGTCGCTTAGACGTATCTACCCAAACGGTGGGGCCTGGCACAGCGGTTTTCATACCCTTACCCTAAACTGACATAATATGACGTTTAAGGGACACAAGACCTAGAAAGTTACATTGACCGTACTATATAGGTCTGAATCAAGTGACTTTTCTTACGTTTCACTACCTAAAATAGGATACAGCAATACTAGTAATCTAGAACTCTAAGGTTATATGCAATGATAATATGTTTACTCACCAATCCGATGTTCAACTCATTTACATTATGTCTTTACCTTTTTCACCTTTATCTTTGTCTCTGCCTCCTTTCACTAATGTCACACCATAGTTTTGTTGGGTCTCCCCAGCTTCAATGTGTCCACCACCACTATTTATACAGTTCTGTAGTCTATAGTATGCTTAAAATTTCTACCCACTTTGTAAAAAATGTCCTGTGTATTTTTATATTTTTTTTTTTGTACCTTCCGCTATGATACATCTCTGTGTCCTGGGAGAGAATACAGAAATTCCTGGGGAAATTTGAACGTTGTGGTTGCTCGCGGAGAAGAAAATTTCATTCGACTGTACTCGTGTCAATAGTTATGCTCGAGGTTTAGACATGTTAATATTATTATTCTTTGTCTCCTCGGTCACAGACTTTTTTATAACTGTCTAATTCAGTGGAATATCTAAATGAAATATTTTTGCTATAGAAAAGATAGTAGCTGTTTCTTTTAAATATCACATGAAAATATTACATGTTATGGCATAATAAATGTCATTTTTCAACGCGCTTCATTTCGTCCACCTAAAAATTATTAAACATTGAATTAAAAATCTTCTGATACATTAATAAGATTAAATCTGTGAATTCAAATGGATTATTTTTCGATTAAATATTTTCTGTTCAAGATAAATCATGATCGTTCAAAACCAACATTTATTATGCAACAACCTAATAATAAGGAAACTTCCAAAGCATGTGAACCTTCTGTCCTGATGATCGACGTGTCAATTAATGTAAACGATACTTGATTTAGTCTTCACTGTTGAGGCTTTCAGGTATAAATCGTATCCACGTAGAATTAATTTCCCTCAGGTTTCCTTCGATTACAATACTATCATTGCAAGACATATAATGGGTTCAATAGAAGTTGTACGAACAAGATTAGAGTATGTACATAATTAATTAAGTACTAAATCATTTTTGTTCCTAGGGTATGGCCCAATGAGCCCGCATCCAGGTTACGGTATGACTGGCGTCCAGCCGGAATACCCTGGAAACACTTACACCCCCTACCCCACCGCTGGCTACAATTGCGGTGGAACGTATCCCGGAGGCCCTGTGACTTCCGGTTACCAAATCCCAGCGGGATACACGCCGACACCTTGTTACAGTATGCCGCCTCCGCAGCACACGGTCGGTCCTCTTGACAAACCCACGGGTAAAGACGATAGGTAAGAAACTCAATGATTTTCTTCTTCCATAAATGATAGTATCGCGATTGCTGACCGAACGACGGTTCCGGTTCATCAGAAATTTAACGTTCCGAGTAATGATCAGAAAACAGGAAAATTCTTGTTAATTAGACCGTGACTGTAACCCTTGTTTCTGTACATTTGAATGTTCGCTTTCGGTACCATTGTTGGATAAAGGAATATTAGGGACGCCCATGGGTTATGTCTTTCTAGCATAAAAAAACTTAGGAGTGGTTTTTATGGAGATAAAATACTGTATTGATTTTAAGATTTAAAATTATTTCGTGGTCCTTTTTCGACATATGTTTCACTGACTGGAAAATACTCATAAGTAGACTAAGGACTTTATTCATTTAGAGCATATAGTGCTCTGTGAAATCAAACAAAAGACAACACTTCTGAACCTAATAAGATACTTAAGAAAAAAAAGAAATTCCTATATTTACTTTTGTTCGTCTGAATTACATTAAAAAATGTCATTTTGTATAAAAATCCGCAGTCTACTCATAAGCTACGTTTGATCTAAATATACTTGTTCTTTATCTTCGGACTGTACCAATAATCTCTATGTAAAGAACAATATATTCTTTTTCAAGTAGGTAGCACAATAAATACGATCTTTCAATGGTCTTCCAGTCACTAATCGATTTTGATTCAACTATGTCTTCCGCGAATAGTGTTACCTACTCCACTAATTACTGCACAAACATTATCTTCACTAATGCATGCCTTTAAGCGACAGAATTCAGTTCTTACAAGAATGTTACATCAATTATTTCGAGAGAATACAGAAAATAATAGCCCGGTAAACGACATAGAGGGTGTCCCTAATCTTCGTAGAATCGATCGACGTGGCAACGGGAGAGACAATGAAATCACAATGCAACCCAACGAACATTCATTCTGGTCGATCCACGGTGTCCAATGAGCCGTACGAACGTCCACGAATAATAATACCGTGCATGTTAGCCTCGCGGATTTGGTACTTGCCTTGCGGAAAGGATCGCGTGAATCTCTTTCTCTCTCTCACTCTCTATCTCTCTTGCTCGCGATATATAGTATTATATTCGCGGCTGAAAAGGCACGTAGGCAACGGCGGCTAACGTCGGCGTAGAGGGAGGAGGCGCGGGTCGCGCATACCTACCTCCATTTTGTTAATTAAAGTAATTACTCTTCGTACCGAAAGTGCCAACCTTATTCTAATTGACGTAAAGCTTGGGCGGTATGGTGGAGAAGGCGCGGTTCGGCGCATAAGGTGAGGAGGTGGAGCAAGGGAGTGGGAGGCGGTGAGCTGCCAAGGGTGGATAAGGTCGACACGGGGAGGTGGGGTATAATCAGTTGCCACCGCACTGGATTATGGGGCGAGACCCCCGTCGTCCCATCGAGGTTAGACCCTTGAAATGCACCTCGGATACCTACGGCGCAACTACTGTCCATTTCTTTTCCAATCTCCGCCCAGCCCCTGAATGACATCGCGTACGTTTCGTTCGTGTCACTGAAACTCTTCTAGAGATCGCATAGAGAACCCCCGAAAAGTGTCACGGTCGGGTCCTTTTGTCTTGTCGTGCAAGTTTTGAGAAATTTACTAGAGCTTGACGTTGCTTACTGTATTTGCAGTTTGTTATTCCGGTAGCTGGTTATTGAAATATTGTTAAGATAGAAAGGAATCTCGAAAAAAGTATTCAACTGACATATTTCATTACGATGGGGAAAAATTACCGTATTGGTTGTGAGAAATTTATACATTTTTCATTATCACCTACAGAAATGTACTACGTATTCTCAAAATTTAGAAGTGATATCCACGTAACAGAGAAACAGATTCGTTAGTTTCTACATTGAGGAGAATACTTAAATACAATATCGCCCGAAAGTATGGGACCACGTCTGATAATAATTAAAGAAAGAGATGAAAACTCAATTCAATTAATAAGAATTCTAATCATTTTTATACATATAATTGCAATGAATTTAATCCAATTAGCATGGAGCACAAAAATTAAATTTTGTAGCGACCAACAAAGTTATAAAAAAGTATATGAAATTTACAATAAATCTTCCAAAGTAATGTCAACTTCATCAATAGCCTCTGCATCACAGCCCTCGTTTTGTACCTCGATCAAATTACACGCAGCTCTCCCCATTTCAATTTATCCTTCTGATTACAACTAAATATAAAATCTTATAAAAGATACATGCCCAGGTACAATAGCCTCGCTACAACCCAATATGTGATCGGAAAATCACCTACGATCACCAACAGACATCGGTACAATGTAATGAACGAAGATTCAGGGGGGGGGTGCCAACACAGCATACGACTTATCATTTATCCGAAGGCAGAGGAAAGTGGTTAGACGGAGGTTGGAAAAATACGAAGGCAGAGCATCCGTGGGGCGGGGGGAAAGGGGGTGGTGGTGTACCGGTGAATTGCACTCAAGTCCGCATCCGTCGGCTCGGTTGCCCGGCAATATCGTGGCCACTCAAGGGCCATCGAGGTTTTCGAGGCTTCTCATAGCCGGCGGTAGTTCGTTCATCTACGAGACTACGAGGAGACGAGAAAAAAGCAGAAGCAAACTGCTCTCGGACCTCCGATCCCCGCGTATATATTCCTTCCGCCTCTTCCTCCTCCTCCTGTTTCTGGCTCTTGCGCTACCACCGCCCCCGCCACCGTTGCGCCTCTTCCCACTATTTCTCCACCGGCCGAACTTTTCAGGTTTTTTTTTCCTCTCTCATATGTCGCTATCACGCCGGCCACCATACACACGGCTCTCTCCCTCCCTCTCGCCGCGCGGAGAAGGAAAAGTTGCGAGGCGCAATAAAACTTTCCGTTGCTAGTCCCCCGCTCTTTAACGACGCGATGCGGTCCCCGTGCTCGTACGTTGGATGGCTACGTCTATAATGAAATAACTATAGTGGCCAATCCGTGCGACGAAACAGAACGATTGATTGTCATCCATCGTACGAGGCATCGAAACAACCGATTCATATACGATATAACACGGGAAACGCTTACCGGGTCAGGCATACGAGAGACGAGCAATCGCGTTCCAGAGTGTTCTTTTTCATTGTTGATGTTGTTCGGTGCAGTATGAATATCAGGCGGCACTCGTTGAATTACGCGCCTCGGCCCGCCCCTCGTGGTCGCGATGGCAAGGAGCTGATACAATGCCCCACGTCGTCCTGTGATGGCATGGGTCATGTCTCGGGAAACTACGCTACCCACAGAAGGCAAGGCAGCAGCATCTGGCAATTGACACTGACAATTTTACATTTTACACGACCACCTGCTCCCGGATTGTGTATATTTATTATATTGGTATATTGCGATGCAGCACGCACGCACGCTGAACACATACACGTATACATACTTACATATACACATACACATACAGGACGAGGCATCTGAAACAGGCCACCTGAATATCTTAGCTGTTATTGGCGACAGAAAAAAATGTGTCAGACCACCAACCTCCAATGGTATCGAGAAACACATAATTTGGTGTAAATAGTTTTTTGATACGTGTACGCGTAAAGGTCACATGAAGGTCAGCTTAGTTTTTCTAAACGGAAAGAATTGCTTTTTCACCTATCTTCATAAATAGATCATTACACGCGTCTTAAAACGCTCTACTAGACGGTACGTAAAACAACATGTCTTCCTATTTAAAAAAACGAAGTTGACCTTCACATGATCTCTGCGCGTCCAGCTATCAAAGAACTATTCACATCAAATTGTGTGGTTAAGAACCACATAGACAGAATTTTTCTATCACCAATAACAGCCGTGATATTCAGGTGACCTGTTTTAGGTGCCTCACCCTATATACATATTACGCGTAGACGCAGGAGTATTCCTTAGTACCCCGTTTATATTCGGTCCAAACGCAGATACCTTTAAAGTAGTAAGAACCCACTTTGTGAAACTTCGTTTTTCCTGAAACGTACGCGACGTACACACGTGAACACGCCATGAAACACATATACATCAGAGTATATTCACCGAGAGCTGCAAGATACATAGATGGGTTTACTTGCATCGATGCATATTGGTGGTTCCGTGGCGTAGTGGCTTCTTAAGTGTTTTGTGACACTGATCATTTGTCTAGAATTACCCCACACACCTCCGTCTCCTAGCTGAAACCAGTCTTGTACTTACCTACCCGTTATTGTTGCATATATACATATATCTATATCTATATTATAATATACGTGTGAGCCTCCATTGGTATACAATTAGCTATTTACGTTTAAGCGTACGATGTAACGTTTTCTGTTTCTTGTTTACTTTCTCATCCACGGTCTGTCTATATTTTTCCCCGTCTATATTTTTGTATTTGTGTATCTTGTTTACATACGTAACCCATTTAACCTCGAACGCCCATGTCTTATTGCGTTACCGTACGATATTATTGTACCAAAGTGTGTAGATGAATTCGTGCTGAATGAAGTACCATTTCCAAACCTTTTGACCCGACCCCTACGAAAAGGGATGGCAAAATCATTGAAAACCTTTGGTCACGATCTTTTCGTGGTGATCGGACACGCGTCTACGATGCTTCCACCAGTCTATCTTTGATTCGATACAATTCACATTCGTTTTCATATGCATATAGTATGTATATATATATATACGATCACCGAACCCGCCCGTTTAAGAACCGCTTCGCCAGCCTCGAGTGGGCAGCTTCGTAGCGAACTGTTGTCAATGACCATGTCAGAGCAGAGTCGTTAATGCGACGATGATGAGAAATAAAAAAAAAGACACGAAATGACTGTGAAAATCACGAAGTACCGCATATCCGGCAACGCGTGCTCACTTGTCGACTCGGGGAACGCAGAGAAATGTATAACACAATTGGCAATTGACGAGTTTCACTGGGGTCAGGTGTGAGTGTGCTCCCTGCTCTCCCCCATCAGTGTTCCTAGAGTAAGGCTAACCCTTGTATTGACACGAAACCCGTGTACGCGAACACCCATCGATCGTACGAGCGACACCTCATGAGTGATCCAACTGGAACACGGCGTTGCCATTTGCATGCTATCATATTTATATATAATTACACTTCGTTGATTGCCCGTTTCGACTGTGCGACTACCGGTAGCCATTTTTGATGGGGTGTAAGACTCAACTCAGTCATTAACATTGCTCGAGGGAGAATGAATATCGTTTAACGTGAGTCTTGAGCCTCCCTCGTTGAATGTCTTCGGTCGAACTGAACGCAAGGCAAGTCGTCCAAGAATAAAGCTACGTAGAAGGCTGCCTTTTTGAATGTGATTTTGATGTGTGAGCAGCCCGGGTGAAAATGATCTCGATTAGCGAAATTTCTCATTTAATAGATACAGAAATAATGTTTAATGTAAATTCTTGAGAACCGACGAAACGAGATACAAAAGACCCATCGAGATCATCTTTGACACCCGGAATCGAACGTAAGTACCCGAGAGACTTCTTGGCAACGTCGCGTAAATTGCATGCGATGTGTTGCTGAAGCCATCGTTGGATGTTTCTGAGGTGTGCGTTCGTGGCATTGACCATGGGGATTAATGCGCTACTGATAAATTTCGTAAATCGGACAATCATTGATATTCTGATGTAAAAAGACAACACAAGTAGCGCAGAATCGTCATGGTATAATTCGACCGAGTTTTGAACAACAGACACTTTTGTTTCCTTTGCAGTCTCTCCGGTTGTCCGCGGGCCGATCGTTCCCAGATCCAAGCGCATTCGCAGGAACTGAAATGTCCAACGCCGGGTTGCGATGGGTCTGGTCACGTGACCGGAAACTACTCGTCTCATAGAAGTTTATCCGGTTGTCCACGGGCCAACAAACCGAAGAGCAAGCCACGAGACGGCCAGGACTCTGAGCCACTAAGGTCTGTCTTTATCGATATACCATCTGTCTTAATAACACGATCCCTTTTCATCCTAACTGCTTTTAACTGTCGGATCTCTGCGCAAGATTAATATCCGAACCGCTGAGGAATAAACTCCGACAAAATCCTCGAATAGTCGTATCTTATCTACAATCAGCGCAATTGACTCGGCCAGATCTTATCCGCGCCTCACTGTAGAATTAACCAAGAGAGATCCCAGTCTCTCTCTTGCAAACTCTACAACTTGTTGTGTTGCTCGTAATCGCGATCTCAATTTGTGCTTTTGTCGCGTTCGCACGTTGCACGTAGCCCCGTGGTTATCTTCCCGACCACATTGCACGTACCAAGATCTTGGAGGAGACCCGAAAATGGAAACTCGGGTGTAACCCTTTTGCAACCGTATCCCTTAACCCCCGGTGCCGTTTCCTAACGCGAAGACGAAGACGCTGACTAATAACTAGCGGTTTCCGCTCATTTCATGCCCGCTCTGTGTGGATGGATGGTATGGTGTTGGTAATGGTGGTGTTGGCTTTTTGGACTAGCAGATGTCCAATCCCTGGTTGCGACGGGTCTGGCCATGCTACTGGCAAATTCTTGTCGCATCGCAGGTAAGACTTTCAGTCGTTTTAACGTGATCTATTACTTCAAAAGTATCGATTTTTCGTAAAAATCAGAATGTTATATAAATTCTTATTCTACATGTTCTATCAAATCTTATTCTATATGTCAAATCTGAGTAAAGTTGATCCTTTTGAAGGAAACAATTCTTTTCATAATGTGTATACCATCTAAGTAACGCTTTTTCATTTTTTCAATTAATCATGTTATAGTTACTAACGATGTCGAATTATATATTCTGTTTATATTAGGTTGTACCGCATGAAATTACTAATATTCGAATAGTTGATAATCAACCGTGATTAGTAAGTCAAATAAATTCTACCATTATTGTGCTTCTCTATCTTTTTTATTATTGAATTATTAAATTATACTACGTGTGTCAACAGTATTGTTCGAAAGAAATAATTTCGAATACTTTTCCAATCTGAATTCAAATGAGGTCATGCCTGAATTCAATTATAAAGTCATGCGTTAATCGCGAAATTCAAAAAGATCACTCTTTGTGTTATCTACGAAACAAAATATTCCCTAAACGAGAATAGGTAGTTGCAGGGCACTTCCAATTTTTATAAAGATGAAATGTCTCGGCTAATATATCGTTCGAAGAAAGCTTTTAATCGATCTATCGAAACAGCAATGTCATATAGTACAACCTAGTATATTCTTCTGTCACATAAACTCTCCATCAACTTCTTTCTAACTTGCTTTTCTCTAAATTCTGACATTTCTTTACTTCGGTTGCGAACAACACGTTGGTATCGTAGTCTGACCATCAGCACGTTTAATCAAGCCTGAAGTGTGTTTTAATTTTGGTATCAAAATTTCGGAATAAATATCTACAATTTCATTGTATTATTTTATTCAAAGTTTTACATCAAAGACGAGACAGTTTAGATCAGATTGCAAAATATTACTTTATGACCTAATGAAGTCTCCACAATTTAAGCTCAAAAATGGAAAAGAACAAAGCAAAATAAGTATCTGGTGATACCCATTTCCAAAACAAAGAAACAAACAGCAATATCAACTAAAGGAATACAAATACTAGATTCACGATCCTTAGTTCTGACCTGATGATAAGATATAGTGGTAAAAATAAGTGAACGTTCCAACTGTGCTAACACCGACGATTCCTGTTGCAGCGCTTCCGGCTGCCCGATCGCGAACAGGAATAAGATGCGAGTATTGGAGTCCGGTGGTACGGTGGAGCAGCATAAAGCAGCTGTCGCAGCGGCGACCGCGATGAAGTTCGAGGGTGTCAATTGTCCGACGCCAGGCTGCGACGGGATCGGCCATATAAACGGTTCATTCTCGACACACAGATCCCTATCCGGCTGTCCCATAGCTGGTCACGCGGTGAAGAAGCCCAAGTTCGAAGACATGTCGAGCATGTACAGCAAAGGAATCGCCGGTGAGGATCAAGCTGCTTCTGATGTGATCGATGTCTTCGATTATCGATGCCCACCGCTGTTAATCGAAGAATAAGAGAGAAACCTGCTGCCGGGCCGGCTCCGCGTGAGGCGAGTCGATGAAGTCGATGAATTAAAAAATAACAAAACAAAACAAAAAACAAAAACAAAAAGAAAGAAAATTCAATTTCGAACAAGCGAATCGGAGACTCTATTCACGTTGAGCGATGGACCCGATGTCGCGTTACATGTGATTGCCTGCCATTAACGACGATGTCGAAGAGAAGCTCTGAAGTAGGCATGATCATCATCCGAGTTTGCCTTTTATTATTTTCCACCGTTTCCATGTCGTACTCGTTCAAACGTGTACGGGGAACGAAGCTTGATAATATTGGATTAATGTTTCTCGATGAAACGAAACGGTAAAGCATATAGATAATTGGACGAGTCGACGCCTAACACCGTGACAAAATTATTGGAACCTTTATTTGTAAAACTTGTGCATATATGGACCCGTATTTGATCCTGTGCTATGCCATACTCTACTCTTCACGCAATGATGTGCTGTCATACCAACAAGAGTAACCTTCCTCCCTCTTCCCACCTCCAGTTCTGTCTACCTTGTATATTCAGTTACATTTTTCTTGTTTCTCGTCTCTATGTTTTTTAAGTGTCACGTTCAGTTCTCGCTCCCACCGTTCTTTTCTCTGAGATATTAGGATCCAGGTGTTTCTCGAGCCACAACACGCCGCAAAACGTAACAGAGACGAAAAAAAAGAAAAACGTCGTACCCGTGAGATACACCTGAACTGGACGTATATACATATATATACCCGACATCCAATTAGTTGTGTCACTATTCGCCTCCTCCAGTATACGGAATTCGTCCTCTACCATTTTTCCCAATCCACGGCGCGACATCCCGTTCCCCAACGATGATTATGTGCAAGAGAAACGAACGAATGTAAAGCCCAAAAGTAAACAGAAAAAAAAGCAACCGTATGTCATAATAATGAAAAATAATATATTCTGATTTATTCTGGGATCACGATCAGCTCCTTTCCTGTCATTGAGCTTTGAGGAGAACATTTACTTTTGAAGGTAAGGGACTGACGTACTCGCCATTTGTTTTCTATGTGTTTTCGGTGTTACATACAAAAAAAAAAAAATCCACACACCAGTAACTTTACTTTTTACGAGATGACGTACCGAGTGTTGGCTCGGCCGATGTGCTATCTCTGAATCTGCTCCGTTTCGATCAGCTTTCAAACGAAATATAAAATGTTCATATATTTCACAGCCGATGGAAATATTGAAAACGTGAAAAAGGCCAGCACTCGGTGTCTCTCATTTTTTTCTTCTATCTGGTATGATGGCACCTCACGCTACCTCGAAACACCCTAACATCGATCCCTGATCATGTTCTGTTCCCGCGGCACTCCTGTCGGGTTCGTGCGCCCGTCTGACGAAAATATCCATAAGTTCTTGTAAACGCCTCTGAATCTCTGTATCACGTCAAGCACGAACCACTAGCAGAAGAAACCGTACCGATCCCACATTTTAGACAAAAATCCTCATGCAGCGACTTGGGACATATATTATAATTATTGCCTGGCAAACGATATATATATACATATATATATGAATAACGGAGATTAACAAGCCTACGATGACGCTTCTTTTTCGAAAAAAAAAAAAATAATAAAATAAAAAAAAAATGTTCTCCCTACCGGGCCCAACCCAAATCGCTGTCCGAAGCTTTCCCGGCGCTATTTACATGCTCGCCCACATTTCTTACATTTTATTGTGTATCTGCAGGGTGTTACACAGAACTGGGACGAGCGTTTTGTACTTTGAAAGGGATCGATTCATGGAAAAGTGTGTAAGGCGAAATTGGATGGTTTCTAATGCTCTAGCTTCCTGTATCACTATTATTTGTTTATACGCATGCATGCAGTTGCAAAATCCTCAGATGCACATTGCTCGGAAATGGAAACTCTCGGGCTTCTTTCAAAACGCTATACAACACAGCTTTATGTATATGTGTACAATGAGAAATGTGAATTCATTGTACCCTCTATCGGATAGACGTAACGGTGATCAATTTAAGATCGTTAAACATACGAAGGAGACATTCAAATGATCCTCCATTACTTATACAACTACCATCACATCAATGACATGGTCTACTCTATTTATCGAATGATTTAACATTCTTTAACATCGTGATTAATGAAAAATTACATTGAACCGAGGGGGACGAATCTCCATTTCACAGATATGTGTAACTTCTGAACCAATAACAGTGATACAATCTGCCAGAACGTCAACCAATTTTATATTACGCGTTTCTCTTCAAATTTCAAAAACCGCTTTTAAGAATGCGAACCCATTCCAATTCCGTGGGACACCCTGTATATAAATCCCGCACACCTGTTAAGAAAACGTAATCGTACATTTCTCTCTGTAACATCGAGTCGCTACCACGCAACTGGATTAGGAGCTCTAACGGGCTTCGGTCGTGATTGGGTTGGCCTTCTGACGGTTTCCGTCGACAGTACCCGTGTCCTCGAGATCGCTTGAACTAATTTTGAATCAATTAGCTGGTAAAAACTGTAATTTTCCTCGAGGACACGCGGTCACAGAGGAAACGGTTGGAAACCGAGAAAACGATGTGTGCCCGAAAAGACACGGATTAGGCTGTGTTAAAAGTGGACCCCTGTATGTCCTTATATTCAGGAGTGGACACCAGTGGTCCGGCTCATGGGGGTGCGGTGGGTACGGGTCAGGGTAACACGAGTGGTGGCGGTACCGCTGGTGGTCAGGGCGAGGATCTCTACACACTGGAGGCCGAGATTACGGAGCTCCAGAGAGAGAACGCTCGCGTCGAGTCGCAGGTTCTGCGCCTGCGCTCCGATATCACCGCCATGGAGAATCAGCTGAAGCAAGGTGAAAAGGTCAGTACGGTTTTGCTCAGTCGGTAATCGATTATTACCGTGCGACGATAGAGGAGACACTCGGATTTCCGGTTATGAATAATGTAGAGAACGACTGAATCCATGCTGGAGCTTTCAGGTGTCGTTTATCATTCGGCTTCTATTAATCAGTATCTAAAATCCTTGTAACTTATTTTCATTGTGGTCGAAGATAAACCAAGCTCAACGAATATTTACTGAAAATTCTAGCTCTAAATCTAAAAATGTCTAGAGCTATACTTGATCTACTGCAGTTTTCGTAGAGTATCACTGATGCCAGTTGCTGATACTAGCATAGACACAGTCTTCTCTATTCTGTTTATTTCATGGCTCGATGTTTGTAACAAAAAGATTGATTTTTCTTCAGGAAACAACGTCGATTTCCCAGCGGAACAACAACCTGACCGAGTACTATCAGTCGTTGCGGGACAACATGATCACGTTGTTGGAGCACGTGCGAATACCGAACGCCCCGGGCGGACCGCAGGAGAAGATGGGCCACGAGAACTTCGACAGTTACCTGACGAAGCTGCAAACACTGTGCACCGCGGATGGTTATTGCACGGACGAGTCGAACAGGCCGATATACGAGACGGTAAAAACCGCGCTCCAGGACTTCACGGTGCTACCGACACCCATCTGAGACTATCCTTAAAGCTCGATGATCGGTTGCAACGAATCGTGGACGCGTTACGCGTAGTGACCGCTGGTAAACGTTGTGACGAATTATAACGGAAGCTCGGACAAGGTGATCGCGTGATGATTACCGAATAGAACAAGAAAAACTGTGCGTCGAACGTGAAACGAAATTCGGTCGGTAAAGCACATGCACGCGAGGTATACAGGAGGATAGATCCTCTTCCTCGGTACCAGAGACTTCCATTCGATGGGAAGTATGTTAACGTGTGAAAAAGGAACCGACAGATCGACAATGTTTTTACGTATTATCGGGTGATCTACACGCGTCGTCGGAGGTGAAATTAAATTGACGACTGTATAGACTGTTAGTAAATGTTACAACGGTATCTAAAAGAACGTATCCCCAGCGATACGATTATTCGAGGGGCGATCGCAAGGAATCGGTAGCGGACTGACGTAAAATACATAGCGATATCTTTTGTACATAACGAACTTATACCAAGTAAGTATTAAGGCCACGGGCAGGAAGGACCGTTCGCCCAGTCATCATGTAAATACATGTGCGCGAGAGAAAGCATTTCTATTATTTAAGGGACGTGTTAATGTGGTACCATCTCATCTCTAAGATTATGTATAAAAAAAAAACATGAAACCAGTGTACGATCGGCGACGAAACGGATCGATTAGCTTAGGATGTATATCGAAATCGTATCGCACGTACCAAATGTATAACTGTTACTAATCGTTAAGGAATTAACGTTAAACCCAACCCCCGTAAACTGAGAACAAGAGAGAAAGTGAGAACCCGCTGAACGCTGCTTCTGGCTAAACCGACGGCTACATTATGAATTACTAATTGCGTACACACATACACACACAAAGACAGACACACACGATTACCCGCTAGAGTACTTATTATTACTACTACTTGTCACTGTTACAACCACCGAGATCGTTTCTAGGATTAATCCAATCGTCATTATTGCTACCACACTACTCTTACTACTGTCTGATGTAGGATATAGCGACGAGTATACCGGACGCAAATTTATATTATCAACGAGAGTGACCACGAAAGGTGCGAAACACATTTGTCCATAGGGGTGTACATAGTCACGGAGGGTGATAATCCAGAATATAATTATACGAGTGATCGGTGGGAGAACATATATGATCGATAGGTTCGCGCGAGAGGGGATCGATCAAAGGGAGCTCTTGAGAGATATTTCGAAATAATGCTCGAAAAGAGAAAAGAATGTCAATCGTGAACACGGTGTATTTATCGAATTTCAAAGGTGAAAAATTTTGAGAGGATCGACGCGTTAGACGACCAATCGGTGCTTGTCTCGCGGATCCGATTAATCGGGACGAAGGATACTCGTTCGTGTGTGCAATAGTTTTCGTCTTTCTGTTTTTTGGAAGGATCGGTCGCGACGCAGCGGTGATATGCGTGTGTTGGCTGCGTCTGCACGTGTTGTTATATGGTTTTTCCGTGGAATTTTACGTGGCCCGTGATTAGTTCGCCGTACTTTTTAATCAATTGTAAAATACGCGAGATGGACTGAATGTAAATATCGACGCATTGCCTGTATTCTAGAGAGAATATCTTCCGCCTCTTTGACGGTTAACGACTGAATGACGTCCGGTTAGAAGAACGATAACGGTTGAATCCCGGTGCTGAGAATGCGTTTCGATTCGTTTCTGATGTCGACAAGTATACGAAACAAAGTAATAAATCGGTAGTCATTTTTTTTCGTTGCGGAATAAGGAGAAAAATGTTGATGGACGAGACCGACGAATCAACGAGGCGAAGATATCGGGGACGCGAGCAATGCTTAATTATTTTGCAGACTGAAATCATTTCGTCGCGGTTATTAGAACGAGACACAGTGTGTATATATATATGTGACGGGGTGAGGAGGGATGGAATGGGTCAGAAGGGGAGTGGAGTGTGGTGAATCAATTAGAGTTGTCTGTTAAGTGAAACAGACGTGATCGAAGATACCGTGAGGATGTGGTATAATACTTTAACCAAACACCGTGTAGTGAGGGTATTAATAAATTAAAGTATAGCGATAGTCGGCCGGCGATTACGATTAATCTCGACGTTATCCATTATTCTTGTCATTGTAATTATCATTACGATTCTAATTACCATTCACACTGTGATTAGATCTGTTCTTTTGCTCAACATGAATAAACAACAGACGGCCGGGAAGAACGGTTATATTATGAAGATTCCGCGGTTTCGGACGGTCCGAACTTCTCGGGTTTATCATATTCCGGTGATATTTATTGCAATTATTGCCATTATTACCACTATTGTCGTTATGTTCGCGTCATTATTACGATTATTATTGTTGCCGTTGATGAAGTTGTACGAATATATAAGTTCAATGACATGCTTTAAGTAAGTATAAATGTTACTCCGATTGAATAAAGGGTATTTATCGATGAACTGTGTTGCATGTTCCGTTCCAAACTACCCGTAAGAACGTAAATGTGAAACGTAATTAATGTCTTTCATGATGATTATTACGAGTAATTCTTCATAATCTTATAGGCATTATACTTAATCATTGTTACTACATGAAACTCTAAATATTTATAGAATGATGTACATTTGTTCAATGTCGTATCGTTATCGTGGACAATACATAAGGAATGAGGATCAAAGAACAAGTACCAATTTAAAAGTTGCACGTCTTTTTATTTGCTTTTCCATTATATATAGATATAAAAAAAGAGTCTTGTTTTTACAAAGCAACACCGCGATCGACAAGTGACGTACCATAACACCAGCATCATCGTTACATGTATCACAATAAAATGGATGTGCGAATGACTTTCGCATGTGTATAATGTATTCTTGTAAAATGACAAACATGGAAATCATATGGCAAGCAACAGAAATGGTTTCTCTAACAAGCCGTACGACTGTCTAAAGCGATGTAACTCGGAACACCTCGAGTTCCAGCCATTGGGACACCCCATTCTCTTCTTACGCTTGAACCGGTTCGTGTTTTATTTTCTTTTCGATGATCGATGACATTCTCCAAGTTTCCAAGAAACCCCATTTCGACCGTATTACAGATTTCTCTCTTTATCGATGACTAGTGTCTGCTGTTTTAGATTCGCTCTAAATTAGCCAAACAAAATCGATAATCGCACTCTCGTACGTCACAGTAGTCTACGTAGACGAGGTCCAGTGGCCACCATTTGGCTCCCATCATTAGCCACGCTATGACGGCGGTTACGGGTGACGGAGTCCTCACACTCTCGCCACGTAGTTGTACTTCGATGGATTTTCGTTGTATTGCAAGACGCTGGGCCTCCAGCATATCGCAGACTTTTCTCGTTGCGAACTGAGATTGCTGATACTGAGAATCTCACCTGAAATCGAGAGAAAACGATCGATTAAGAAAGGAACCTTATAAACATTTTCAAAAATTACTTATTACGAATGAAATTGCGACCTAGTAATGTATTACATTACTCTGCTATAGTTTAAATAATTCTTACATTTATATTTAGTGTGCAGACCTAGCAGATTCTTTTATCAGAGTTTCAATCTTATAGTTTGATTCTATTGTATTAATATCCCTTCTTATTTTATACAAAAGGTAGTATCATACTAGTTTGTTTAATTACAAGAAATTTATCTAAAGGAAGTCATTTTTCTCTGTTCTTAATTTAATCGACGATCTACATGGAAGTGTAGGATATTCATACTCAGTAAAAGCATACGACTCCCAGTTTACTTGTCAGCGAAACGTGTAATTCTACTTTCCGAGTTCATGACAGCGGGTCTATAGCTGGACATGACGTCAACGGTTCTTACTGTACAATTTGTAACGTCATATCAAGAAAACACGTCACATTACTCCCACGTACACGGATCTCCCTGCTCTCCTTTCCCACTCTTTACTTTCATATTACGGATATGTTAATCATAGCAAGTGAACAATTTAGGAATAAGACCGGAAATCGTACGTCAACCGTTACAGCTTTCTAGATTCTGATAAATGGGTAGGATAAAATGAAAAATTGATACTTTTCAATTACAGTCAGCACAGTCTTTCTAAATCGCAAAAGCTGACCAAAACCCCAAAAATGAAGATTTCAATTTCGAGTTCCGAATCATTGTTGCGTACATAGGTAGTCGAGGCATTAAATGGGGAGGGGTAAGGGTATCAATCGCTTCTACCTGGGTCTATGACTCAGTGCAAAAGTGACCGTAGTTCGAGTCGCACCTTACGTCGAAAAGAAGCTAAAATGTGTCGCTTACTTCAAAACAATGATTATAACTTTGGTGAAAGTGCATCAATTTCAAATTTTATAAATGGTCCCTATTCCTGCAAGTAGGTAAAATCGATATTTATATGTCAGAAATCATAATTAAAACGTGAATCGTGACAATCTGTAATTTCTTTGTATAGGAAAATACGGAAAAATTTCATGTAAAAATTTTGAGAGTGCAAAGATGAATTTCGTATTCTACATTCTGCCGAGAGGCTTCCATAAACATGTAGTACATACTAATATCTGACAGAATCAACCAAGAAAATTCTGCCGAAACCTGGCCCCTGGAAGTAATCACTAATTGAAGTAATACGCACAGGCCAAGCTAAAAATTTGTAGCCGCGATCAAAATTTTTATCGTCGTAACTATTAAAGACAGAAACTTCGTTTTCTTTTTATATTCGGTTCAAGTAAGAAAATAATTGGAGAAAAATATGTGCATACTTTGTGATATTTCCTCTTTAAAATCAGTCATTTCTTCAATTCGCGGACGTTCTACAATTGTGGCCAGCCCAGGTCAAGAAAGGTCGCGGTGTACGGATTCCGGTATACACGCCGCCTTTGTCCGGTACCGTGATCGCAATTGTAGAGTGCCATTTGTTTCTAGTGCTATTTTGTTTATTCAAATTTTTCTTACAGAATCATAATCAGCGACCTCGACAACTCTTATTTGCCACGTTTCGAGTAAATCGAGTAATTTTGTAACATACTCGTTCGCGATATTGGATCAGCCATTTTTTTTTTAAATTTCTGATTGCAGATTCATAATCAGCAACCTCACAAACCTCGGTATAACAGGTTTTTTAAAAGTCAAAGGACGTCTTCATATTTCGGCCAGGCTTTTGCGATTTGGGAACACAGTGCGACGTCTCGGAAATATAGCAGAAAGTCACATATAGAAGATCTGTCCGACTATATCATTATCTAGTTTATTCTGCTATAACATTCTTTCGCTCCGATTCAATGGAACTTCTCATCCTTTATTATATCGTTCCAGTCAAGATCTGATAAGCCAGACTACAATTGAATTTTACCTCGCGTACGGTGGCGGTGGGGATGGAGTTGGTTCCCTGGAAACAATTTCCACGGTTCTGGGAACCATGTTGTGAACAGTTGGTAGCGACAACGCGCTACTGTTGCTCAGTCTAACTAGGTGACTAGGATTCAATTTGATCGCATCATCGTAGCTAGGTGGTGGCGCGTCCGTTACCGCCTCGTAGTCTGGCGGCTTCTGTCTGTATCCACTAGATGGTTCCTCAATGGAAATCACATGAATCGGATCGTCTATCTGTAATTGAAAAGTTACCATGTGAATTACACTCGTCCGATTCTCATGAACCATCGAGCAACTTCGATTCGATCTATTACCTATAAAAAAATCCGAAAATATCGTCAGAAATGAAATATTAGATATTTTCATTGCTACACGACCAAACGATCAGTTTCGGTTCCTTTGCAAAAGTAAGGTGACTGGAAAAGCAAGTCAACTTTTATCGCACGATTTTATGACGGCATTGTACCCAGACCGCAAGGATATTAACCCCGAAATGGTATTCATCTATATATGTATATCTCGGGTCGTCTATAGATATCTATCCCCATACTCGCCTCGACACCTTTATAAAGTTTATAGCCGGTCGGACCTAAAACGCGAAATGTCGCAAACTGACGTACAGAGATAGAAGGAGGATCGGAAATAGACGTTGGTTAGTCCAGGACATAAAGAAAGCTTCGAGGAAAATTGCATAATCGTTTCGAACTACATCGCGGGGTGAACGACTTACGCTGGGCCGATTCCCTTCCGTGAATGCTGCCATTTTTTACAGAGCGCGTCGCGGGGATGGCGTTCGCGATACGGGTATTACAACACTGACAGGTTGAGTTACGTCGTGTTTTTTTTATTCCACAGCTGGCAAATACCGTGAAAGATTTCATTTACTTGGTGAATGGACTGCGGATATTTGTGGAAATTCAAATTTCTATGAAGCAGTTAACAGAAAACGATATCAAATAGAATCGTAATGATTTCATTAAGGGATCTAAATAATGTGAAAACTTCATTGCAATTTATTGAACGTTTTCATGCATTGAGTTTTAAACAATTGTCTATCGATAAACGGTATAAAATCTACGGTCTATTGATGAATAACTTTACCCCACGAACGTTACTTGGACTACTTGTAAATCCATATAAAAAAAGTATCGAACCAATAAGATGTAAAAATTAACTTCTTTAACTTTTTCTAAACTAAATTGTACAGTATATCGATATAGGTGCATAATACAATATAACAGAATATAGTATAATATAAAATTTAAAAGTCAACATATATCCTGACGAAAGCACATTTATGATACCAGGAATCATAAATAGAGAAATTTTTAATCTGTCATTTTGATAGGTTTGCTTGTTCTAGCATTAAAAATTCTTCGTGCTCTTAAAAGAAATTAAAAGCTTTCTGAACTAGTCCACAGTATACAGTATGGAGGCTAAATCTTCGTTTATTGTTACAGAACCGTGGTAGTAACGTGAATTCTTGAATCGCTGTATGTATATGTATTTCTCCGTATAAATAGTTACAAGAAAAATGGAATTTAGCAGCGGAAACGTTTTTTTATGAAGCTCGCGTGCGCGGCAATCCGTGACTGCAACGTATACAGGTACATCGAAGGATGGCCACCGATAAATATAGACGCGAGCTTCCGGGTGCATATCCTTACGGTGGTAGTTAAACGCGCCGCAACAACCACCGACCTCCTTTGTGCATCTAGGTACAGACAACCTTCGCATTTCTATTGTTTCCCCTCGCGCGAGGTAAAGAGGAACGGTTGCTATTTTAAATCGCGTATCTATGCTACGCCTACATAGTAGTTTTCTTTTGTTTTTTTAAAGACGAAAAAATTGAGAAACGAAGAAAAGAAAAGGGACAACGTTCGAGGGTGAACTTTTGAAAATATTCCCCGATCGAGTACCGTTAGTTGCAGGGTTGGAAAAAGTTATACATTCTGAAGATGACAATTTTTCCAAGAAACCTATAAATCATCATGGTCCATATTTCAATAGAAAAAAATTAAATTTTTTAAAAATAGACTGTTTCGTTTCGATCTATAGAAATGGCAGTTTCATATGGTAACAACACCTGATAATATTTTACTCTATTAGTAAATTGTGTCTCTGAATAATGTTTAATCGAAATATTGAATCTTCAATTTATTATCGATATTCTCATGTCAATTTAATTTGCAATTGAAATGATCATATTATCACAAAAAGTTTTTTGTAATCTGTTAGCCTTTTCAAACTTCCTGACTGGTAGCTGATACAACCATTAGCTAAAAGCAATATATCAATTCGTTGATCGACTCCAGAGGGCTAAGATTTCGTGCGTTGTTTATAATTTGTTGATCATCGAACCCATCTGTTTCGAGTACCCATCAATTAGCGTGCCCCCGCGAAACACCACATGGCGCGTGGAAACGTTTTGAAAGAAATTTCCGTCATGTTTAGCAGCTCTCGGAGCGAATTACCGCGAAGGAAAAAGGTGACAGCGACGATTCTGATCGAAGCATATTTATTTTTATCCCGTAGCCCGTTTACAATCGACAGCAATTGCGGCTCGGTTGTACACTACCGTGGCATAGACGAAGTACCCCCGCGGTCTATAAGAGGGGATTGACCCGAATCGATTTGAAAACGCTATACTCTCGGGAGCCTTCGATCAGGAACTCCGTTTTGAAACCTATAATCCACGAAAGACTAGGTGCGTCGAACTTTAAGGGAAATTGATTAAACTTTACTTTGCCGGGCATAAAATTATTGATTTTTTTTGTATACCTCCTGGTAGTATTCAACGAGTAGAATCTAAAAATGCAAGTTTTAAATTTAGGAATCCAACGGTTCAAAAGTTATGCGTATGTAAAAGCAAGTATTTTTCGCATATTTTACAGGATAGTTTAACGCCATATTGACTTCTTTCCAAAATTCATCAAATGAGTGGAATTTACCGAATCAGTGATTTGCTTTCAATAAGTGGTTCTTTTTTGCAAGCATATTTGAATTATTCCGCCAAAATGGCCGTCACCCACATGCATCTCCTTACAAGCAGTGACACACTGATTGGACGAATTTTACATTGGAACCAATGTGGCGTTAAACTGACCTGTAAAATACGCTAAAAATGTGCTTTTATACACGCATAACTTTTGAACCGTTGGATGCCTAAACTTAAAATTTGTATTTTTAGATTCTACTCGTTGGATACTATCAGAAAGTATAAACAAAGTCAATAATTTTTGGTCCGCAAAGTAAAGTTCAGCCGAGAAAATGGTTTAAACACGAAACATAGTGCTCCGTATCTAACTAAATATACATATTCATATTAATTGAACAGAATCGTTTCGTGCTGGTCAATTGTGTTCGATCGTTTCGTAATGAATTGCACGAGTTCATTCGTATTTGTCAGTGGTGAATCTAACAATTCAATACAAACGATAATAATAGGATAAAGAGACAGTGTCATTCGTTAGGTCATCATAAAGGGTGACAGCAGTGAAACTCTCACAGCACGAACTTAGCATTACACGCTAAACATATGTACTTAGTAGTGTGGCAGGAAACAGTGGGGGGAGGGGGGCACAAAATAATTCAACACACACTTATTCGAACAGTAAATGATGTAATTAAAGTAAAAATAATTAGCGATACATCACGCACCTTTGTTGTGCATTTTTCTTAATCACACTCTGGTTACCACAGTGCCACCTCCTCACTCCTTCTTTATCTCTACCAACTTAATTGTAGTAAAACCAAATATCCCTACGTATTACTATATTATGAACTATACAACATTTAATAAAAATAACCCTACAAATAGTACACTCTTGCAATATAATCTCAGATTATAACATTCGCATAAATTCTCACGATTTTTTTTTCAACAGATGCGAAGGTAGAAAGTTTCGATTTCTTTTACGAGACCAATTGCATATTTCTTTTGCTGATACCGTATGGAGGATCCAACAGATTGACGAGGACGAAACTTGTAATAAAATGTTTATCGTATGTCGCCGTTTAGAAAAATAAAGTCTTACCTGTGCTGTGATTGGATGGTTTGTGTGTTGTGTGTGCATAGTTGCCCTACTTGGCGGTGCGTGCAGCCAACAACACATTGCGGCACATATGAGAAGAGCTCCCGCGATTATGCAAGCGACACCGACATATCGTACCGGTTCGACGTAGTTCTCTGCGAGGCCTAACCAGTTTATCAGAGCTCCAACGCATAGAAGCACCATCCCGTACCTGTACGGACGCTGCGAACGCCGTGATTCCTCCAAGGACATTGCTGAAATCCCGAACAGAAATCATTAATTTTCCCATTCACATAGACTGTGCGTAGTGTCATCTTCGCAAATCGTTGGAAAACTAAATGTTTACCACAGAAAATTCTGAAACACCCTTAAATTTACGTGGACATTTATGGTATTAATTTCTAAATCAATGTAGTGAATGGGGAGTAGATTCAATCACAACTTAAACATTCCTCAGAATAGAAGTAAATTTCAAATCAAATTGGAGTAAATTGAAGTGAAAGTAATGTAAAAATTAATTACTAGTCAGAAGGGACGAATTGATTCATTATTTGAGGTCGACTGTATCTTACAAAAATTTCTCGAATAACAGGTAAAATAAATTGAAATAGAGTTCAAGTGTGATTAGATGCAACGTAGAAAAGTGAATTCAAATAAAATGCATTGAATCCATCATGTGATATTGTTGGAGGCTGAAATGAAAACAGTGCATCATGTTTCGGTCCCTGCCATCTTCTGGTGCGTGGTTTCCTTTACGCGCAAGGTGTGAGGGCACACTAATAGTCAGTTAGTTACGTTGTAGTTTTCGTACGATGAACACGTGTATTTCAATTATTATTTTTCTGTACTAAATACCATAGAAACCATAATAAGTGTATGTTTTATCAAAGGAACTTCAACAGATATTTATTACATACGGATTTGACTCGGATATAAAATTATTGTCACGGTCGCTTAATGAATATTGCATAGCTCGATTACGTCAGATACGATCTCTAAGACGTGTCTAGCGTATAACCATCGTCTATTTTTGGGCAATATTCCACTTTCGTGCCTCAATTACGTTCATACACGCATACAGAGAGCAACGGCTATTTGTGACGTCGGTCAATTTTAGAAAATGGAGCTATATATAACTACGAGATAGCTATCGCCACGTACGTTACTTCTAGCCCGTAGAGTATTGATTCGTGCGATAAATGATGATAGGTATGTACTGGGAACGATGAACTTCACTTCGAATCACGCAGAATGTGCTAAATACACGGCGAACAACCTTGGAACTTTGGACGAGTACATACAGTATCGTTCAGAATTATTCGTACGATATGACTTTTCGTGTTTACGAACAATATTCAGACTGAGGTATATATTTTATGGCCCTGAGGCGATGACATATATTGTTTAGGTAACAGAACCCATCGTTTTTGTCAACCGCTTGTCATAAATTCATAATAAAACAAGAATATTAATGTACCACTACTGTCCTTTGACTACTACATATGAACAGTTTGGGTTTTTCGCGAATTTTGAACTGGTGACCATAATATAGCAGAGAAATATTTTTCGTGTTATTGTTCCTTTAGGGCCACGTCCCTACCATGGGCCACATAAATACGAAATTCACCTTCTTCATAACCAGTTCTTCTGCGTCCTTTGGCAAAACAACATTCGCTCTAACGTGCTAAAAGTGTCGAAAGTTATTCGGTCGGTGATATTGCGAATAACCTATAGATGTTAAAGAATAGTGTGTGGAATACCATCAAGAAGAAAGAGACGATCGGCAGTGTAAAGGATAGAAAGTGTTGTGTGTTTCACCAAACCAATCCGCGTGTTCGAATACTTTTGAACGGTAATGTACACTTAACCACAGAAAGTTTACGAATAGCAAATTGTAAGAAATTTGCATACTAACAAGTTCCCGTTAATATACGTTATAAATATTTTGACATTGACGAATGCTTTTTCTCGATCATTGCCATTTTTTGTACCACGACGGTTCTATCACTCTCCACTTGACTTTTTAAATTCTATAAACGATTCAACTGATAATCACTCAATTGCTTTTGAAGATAATGAACGTCCACGAACCGTCATTTGAATTACTTGTATAATCGTTGAACAAGTTTAGTAATCATAGCTTGATAAAAACAGTCGAAATAAATAATGTGTGTTTATGTTAAAAACGGAGGATTATTGAAATTGTTTACAACATTTCTTAAGATTTGCTTCTATATCTACTACTAATGATAATTGTTTCGGAAAATTTTCGATAAAAAGTACTGTTAGTTAATTGTAAAACGAAATATAAACATTATGATTACTAGACTGCGGATTTTATACATTCATTGTTTATACGATTGTCTGCAACTCAGCGCAATAATGAATTTAATTATTATTTGGAACACGATGAATTCTTACCAAGTAAATATAATTCTATTTGGCTTCGGCTTCTACAAATTACTTCATAGAAATCTGTATTTGCATAAATTTCCGCAGTCTACTTACAAATGTTAAAAAAGAAGCAATCTTTTTCAATAATTAATTACCAGATTATGAAAATGAAAGTCGAGGGACATCAATGCCAATGGAACTATTGTAGCGATGCCAACAACGTAAAAAAGACAGAACTTATATCGTGAAGTGGGTCAGTCGAACGAAGCGACTCGCAGTTGGTTGCCATCAAAAGTTACAGTCAAACTAATAGCGAAAATTGGAAAGACTATAAATTTCACAATAGTTCTGTTCCAAGGAAAAAGCAATTCGCCGGATACTTATACCCACTACGCGATGCCGTATTACTCATTCCAAAAAAAAAAGTTTCGTGACAGACTACGCGTCGCTAATAGCTCATTATTTAACCATCGTAAATTTTCTAGATTTCCTTATGCGTTCCTGACTGTGTGCCTTCATCACATCGATAAAAATACTCTTGCGTTCCCAATAAACACCGGTACGCCAGGTGTGTTCGTCCGAAAAAATCGGATTACTCGTTCTCCTAGCGGCTTTCGTATAATTTTATAATTATTCATTGCACAATTTCTTTCTATTAACTTCCATGTACGATAAAGTGCGCAAAGCACGATGAACGTGATTCAAGAAAAGTATAACTTTTTCCAATTAAAGTTAGAGGTAAAATTTTTACGATGCAATGGAGCTATAATTACTTATTCATAATAATGTAAAACGATTAAAGCCTTTAAACTAACGTAAAGTCATTTCACTGTGAAACTAATCGATATCTGTATCGATGAACGATTGCATTCAGGGGTGATTCTTTGTCAATATTTTGATCTTTATAAAAGTGTAAGTCAACATCACCGTATCTAGTATACCATACGGTACCTACTAACAATAGACCATACCATGTTCCAATACAGAGAATATTCTACCTACAGACAGCTATTTATCGTCAAACCCATCATTAAAGACAATTTAAATGATACAAAATCAATTCAAGGACTAGTATAAGCTACCTAAAACACATAAAATTATACAGACAATTGTGAATTCATCTAAACGTGTTATTTTAGCATTATTAATGTCACCAATAACTCAAACAAATCGTTCGTGCTATCGTTAATAAAAGAGTAAAAAAATATAGAAATTTAATCAAGTTACATATGGTTGCATATGATAAATCTGAAGATAAATGATGCTTCTATGCATGCATAATGAAGAAGATTAAAAAGGAAGAGTGCATAATCAAGAAGCGTCGTCGACACGCAAGTAGCGTAAATTCCGTTTCTCGACAGTTTAACGCGGATTTCAAACAAAAAATTTCAAACATGTACCGTGTAACCGGTAAATGGTTTAAACAAACGTTCAAACGGTCTTGTTAAAGTTCACTGACGTCCGGATACAAACCGACCAAACGCGTCCGTTCTCGCAAACACGCCGAGCGATATAAATCGATCAACCGGGGTTTGTTTTAAGTACGAAAGAAATATGCTTCGCGGGGCGAGTAAAAGTCTATAAATATTCGCGGTGTGGCTGCGTGAAAAGTAGGCTAAGCGAGAATGAATACAAACGCGAAGGTAGGCCATCTCGACATTAGCAATCGCACGATCAATATCTGTCATTTACCCTGTCATGCCACGGTACGCTATGTCCGAATAAAGAACCGATAAAATATTAACCGTCTTCCCTCATTTTCTTTTTTTTCTTTTTTAACCCGCAATTCTCGAAGGAGACACGAACACGCAGTGTGTGCTCCGCGATAAGAATCAGCCGCAACAATTTTCCACGGAACCATGATATTCACTGGGTTATTCCTGGTTAATGTGCAAACAAGCGTATACAAAATGGACTTCGTGCGGACGGGGATATATGAGCCAGTTAGAGAAGTCACGATGTTTCGTAAAACTTTGAAAAATCGTATCGAGAATTCTATGATACCAAAGAAAATATATGTACACATGAAATCACGAAAAGGACGAATGATATTATAGTTGCATACATCAAATGAAATTCGAATAGCTTGGAAAATTGAACAGGATGTAAAGTTAATATCGTATTCTAGATAGACAAAGACAGTGACAGATTTCATGTTAGACAATTGTCAGGTTAAGATACATGATCGATAATGCATCGAATTTCAGTGGACATATGCACCGTGTTTTATCGATGAAAGCAGTTCGTCGAAACGATACGTTCGTATTGGTATTCTTTTTTTTTTTTAGTGAATAAATTACCATTGATTTCATCCATATCCTAACGCACCGGTATTTTCAAGCTCCGAATTATTCGAACCCTTGTGTATGCGTTACACTTCCCGTACAACTGAATTACAGACGCGCCTATCGGCGGCACACAGAGTTATGCCTTTATACGCCGGGATTACATTTGATAACGGGGAGGGAGGAGGGGACAGAAATCATAAAGATAAGGGATAATATTTTTCATACTTATCGGTTAGTCGTGTGAAAAATAAGTGTGCTTAAATACACGGGCAACACGTCCATCAAAATCATTCCGTTTCTTCGTGGCGCGCGGAGGAAGAACGGGACAGAGGGGCGACAGATGTTGCACACGGGCAATTAAATTCTGGTTTGCACAGATGACGAGCGTCGCATTCGAAAGACTGTAAATATCGCGTATCGCCTAGCACGTGTATTGCGAGAAAGAATATAAATAAAACTGAAGAAACAAAGAGGCAATGATACGAACAATAAAACAATGGCATGCTTAATCGGACAGTAATGTAATAATTATATTTGATTATATTTCAGTTGATTACATTTACAAATTTTTG